TCCTACAGACAAAGGAGGAAGAAAGCTCACTTCTGCAGAGATGTTTTTGACACTAGCTTGCTGAAGAAGGATGTGACTAGTGGGATGTGCAGGGAAACAAGGGGACAATGAGAAAAGAGTAAAATGTTTGCAAACTAGGATTTGGGGAAGAATAAGAGTGGAACTGTGAGGAGGAGAGACAGAAATAACAGGGAGGAAATGAGGAGGAAAGGGCATGGAGTGATCCACTGCTGCTTAGTGAGTCATATACTTCATGTAATTCCTCTTCATTGCTGCTTCTATATTTAGCTTATGGAAATTGCTTCTTTTATATATATAGATAGATAGATAGATAGATATATACATTTAATACATACATATATATATATATATGTTTTTTTTTTTTTTTTCTCTGGAGCCAGTGGGAACTGTTCAGACATTTCCTTTCTCCTTTCCTCCTTTGAAGCAACACCGGGTTGCTTTTATCTGCATATGTGGTGTATGGTTGTGCATGTGTAAGATAGGGTTTGTGCTTTCAGGGAGGTTTAGAAACCTCTGCAAGGAACCTTTCCCTGCTTTTTTATTGACTGATCCAAGTGGCCTTCCTGGTGCTGCAAAAACCCATGACATCTGTGATAGCCAATTCTGGCCTTTGTAATTGCTGAGTGCTTGCTCCACGAGGAACAGGAAACCTGGGAGAGATTTCACAGCCATTTGTCTTTAAAAGCTGCTTGCATCAGGAAGGTGTTACTTGAAGGTTGTGAGTGACGTCATAGACCTAGGAATAAACCTTTAAATATGTATGCAATTGTCAGTAGCCTCTTGAGGAGCCAGTGTACAAACAAGCAGGACACTTGATCTTAGCTGGCTGGATAGATGGTTTGTACAACAGTAATCTATACGGCAATGAACAGCTTCTATAAATGTCTTGGAAATCAGACTGTACTAGTGCATAAAAAGGTGATGTTGTCATCAGTGTGTGCAGCTGCAGAGAAGGTAGTGGAGTTCGTGCTGGAACAATGTTGCTAGCAGCACTGACCTTTGAACAGCTAGTGTGCATCATGGTGGATATTTGTTTAGGTCCCAGATCAAGTGCTTTTAGAGCTGGTGACAGTTTTCATGTTGGCACCAGCATTTAAAAAGTTCTCTTCAGACAAATATGCATTGAACTTAAATTTGTTTTGACAGGTTCTATTTGGGAAGTGGTGATATGACCATTATGGAAGTGAATGTTTGGAGCACTTTACTCAGCCTGCATCCGCAGTTGGAAGCTAGGAAGAAAAAGAGCTGTGCTCTCTTCACTTGTGTCCTTTGCACCTCTCTTGTCTCTGAGATGCTGAATGACGTCTTATAAAACTGCAGAAAGAGGGGGGTAGGATGGATAGATGACTGTATGCTCTTGTATGCAGTTAATTTTCCATGGTAGTAGTTTTTATTATTTTAACTAAGATTAAAGCTGATCTGAATAGAAATGAGTAGGTACTTTGAGTCTCCTGAGAGCTTGGCAGCCATAATGAAATTGGAGGAAGCGTAGAATAGGTGGTTCAATGGTCTTGACTATTCCTTGTCTTCATTCCTTTTATTTTGCTACGCCAAGTTACTTTGCTGAAACAAAGCACACCCAGAGTACTCATGAGCTGTCAGCTCCATTGTTTGGGAACTGCTGCAGGTTCTGCTGAAGAATGACTTTTTAGCTATTGTGAGGTGGAGGAACTACTCTGGGGCTGTGAACTGCCAAGTGTGTGAACAGGCACTGAGGTGCCCTGAGCACTTGCGGAGGTTAAAGTGGTGCAAGCGGTTAACATCTGCTCTTTGAGACGATGTGTGGAGTGGAGACAACTACACAGCTTGCCAAGCATTTTGGGAGGGGGCGATTTGTCAAAGGTAGGTGCTCCTAGAAGGTACTTGCTCCCTAGACAGTACTTGTGTCTTGCTGTGAGATCTGTGGCTTGTGGCCTCCCATCCTGGTACATAAGGTATCTCTAGCGTTAGCTGGAGCTTCATTGCTCTTGTGTGCGGCAGACAGGAGGGTGATGGTGGAAAGCATCGCAGTGGGGTGGTTTTTGTTGGATAGCAGCTCGTGGAAGAAAGCAAGTTGAAAAGACCACTTTAGCCTACGCAAATGACTTAATTGGCATATGAGTCCATAACTGATTAGCAAGTCCAGTTTACAGATCAAGATCAGCACGTGCAATCTTTTTTTCAGTAAGTCTGTAGGTTAAAGATACCTTTTTGTGGCGTTAGTCAATACTTGCAGACTAGTACAGAGATACTCTTATTTCTAAAATTCTTTTTTCCTCCTCTTGCTAGAGTTTATTCATTATGAGTCCGACTCAGTGAGCATAGGTGTTTCTTAAGACATTGTTAAAATATCCATGTTTGTGACTGCTGCTGTGGGACTCTAACCTGTGAGACTCATGTAGTAATTTGTCAGTTCTCCTTGGTGTTGATGTGGGTGGCCCTTACCTTGCCACTGGAGATCTGGACATCACTGGGAGCCAAGAAGAAGAAAGGAAGGCAGGCTCATAGGGAGACTACCAACTCTGCAGCTCAGCTGAACTAAAATTCTTAACTGTGAGAGGCCAAAGGCTCTGTTCTGGAAGTTACTAATGGTAAAGAACTGGACTCTAGTGGCTCACTATACTAGGAAGTCATTTGTTTACTTGCCTGATTTGAAGACCAATGTTTGTTTTTCACATTTTTCCTGTGTTTTTAGACTGGCTTCAGTTCTCTGAAGTCACTTTCTTCTTCAGAATATATAGGAAATTCTTTTCCAGGATGTTGAGTCTTTCCTTTATTCTTTCTAATGTTTTCTTTGAAGCTTATTTTTAGTAAAATTCATCATTGTCAACAATCCAACAGTATTTTAGTCCATTAAACCTATCAAACTTCACGTAGTGGAGTTTTACTTTGCTTTTCTGATTAGCTGGAGATTTGAGATTAGACACATCTGCTATCTTCCTATTCCATATCTCATGATTTACAAGGCTTAACCTCACTGGGCTTGTTAATGAATCACAAACCACCTGCTTCTTTACAGTAATCCTTCAGAAATTAATAGCATAGCTTTGACTTGAAATTCCAGATTGGTTCCCCAGGATAAAAAGTGTGGAAGGATCAATCTCAGTCTGAACAGATTCCTTATTTCCTCTTCCACATTCTTGCACAAGATCATATTTCTGGTTATGGCTGCTAGCCTTCACTGTTAAGAAAGCTTGATGCCTTTATTGCTTTGGCCTTCTGCATGGGGCATGAATAGAGAATGATGGGAGGAAGTGTAGAGCAGTCCAATCTGGGACATTTCTTGTGAATGGCTGGTGACTTGGAGGTTAAAGCTTTGGTAACATCTGACTGGGTCTGCTTTGAACTAGTCCAATTAATGGAGTATGACTGCTTCCACCAGGGACTTTGAGTTCAAAGCCTTGGTGTGTCAGTACTCCTTCCTATTCTCTTTGCCATTTCAAAATGTACGTTGCTTTTGGAAGGCTGCCCTGCTAGTCCATGTAAAGGGGGAGTTGCCTGGCCCAGGGAAAGAGAAGCAAGCCTCTGCAGAGATGGCAGAGGTGAGACCCTGCCAAACCTGGGCTGACAGCACAGTGAGCACCAAGTACTGCTGGGAGCACAGACAGGGCCCTGGACAGCATGGTGTCAAGCTGTGCTGCTTGTTTGCTGCCTACATTGGGATACTGTTCTCGTGCTTTTGTCGTCTTCCTTGTCCACTTTGGACCAACTGTGCTACTTGTCTATCCTGTGCATTTTCCTGTGGGTGATGCTTGTGGCCTAGCACGTGTGGGTGAAACCCAGTGTGATAGTATGTAAGTGCAGTCCCTGGTAGTGACTGCTGCTGACCGTGGAGCTTGGATATCCAGCAGTGCTCTGCTAGCATGGCTGCGAAGGAGGAGCCAGGAATCTGAGCATTGGCATTGTATGTTAACAGTGAGAGACAAAACCCTCGATTTCTGTTTTAGAGATGAATTGAGAGATAGGGCACAAAGTCATTAGAGCAATTGCTGTTCTGCCTGAGGCCAATTTTTCTTTCCTTTTATGCTTTCAGGAGCAAGCAGGAAGGGCCCTTGGTGCACCACCGTGGTGGTGGTGGTTTTTTTGGGAGGAGGTTTGGCTTTTTTTTTTTATTACTTAATGTAACCAATGGCTACTGCTCTCTTCTACCAAACAAATGCTGTTATATGAGGATTTTTGAAACTGTCATTGTTTATGTGGAGTGGAGAAGATGCAGGACTTGGAAATGTTGCAGACTGCTTGTGGTAGGTTGAAGCACCACGTCTGCTGGACAGATTCATGGGGAATTGGGGCCTTTTCTCAGTCACTCCCCTCTCAGTCTGTGACTGATTTGCTCCTGATGGTGACATTTACGTTGATTAGCAGAATTTGCTACTTACTTCTGCAGCTTGTATTTCTGAGAGATTTCTATACAGCTCCTAAGCAAATTGTTTATTCAGATATGTCTTTTGGGTTAATAGATTTTGACACTGTGGTTTTTCATTTCTTAACTGCCAGCCACCTCTCATGCTGTGCTCAACAACTTTCTGTCCTGTGGCATGGGCAAGGTACAAGAATTTAACTCCTCAATGCTGAGATTTTCTAGAAATTACCTATTTTCTTCATCCTTGTTGGAAAATCACATTTTTGTTCTGCTCTAGACATACTGGTTTGGTAGTTGGTACAGACGGTTGTTTTATGGCAGGGGACGTAATCTCTTACAGCAATCACATAGACTCATTATTAACCTTTCTTTCCAGCACGAGCAATCAGAGGCTTATGGCTTTCAGATGCAAGAAGGGTAATTTTTATGATACTAGCACATGTATGCCTCTTTATGAGAGAAATTTGCAATTCTCCTTTTGCATTTCCTGAGTAGCCAAAGCTCAGCCTGTAAAGTGAGGGGATGGACCATCTTTCTGAGGCTATGTACACTGCTGCTCTCCCAGCAAGCACAGCTCTTTGTTCTTCTACATAGATACACATATGCAAACTTTTTTTCTTCTGTTTCTTCCGTCTAGGTGTGTTGTTGTGCTGTTCAACCCTAGAAAAAATAAGCAACACCATATTCTAAACAGTTCCAGGTGAGTAAAGTTTCAAGATGACTTGGCTCTCTGTGGGAGGTAGATTTCAAGGTTTTTATGGCTTGAGCAAAGTATAGGGACTTCTATTGCTCCCAGCTAATCCCCTCTGTGAGAGTTGCCTTGGGGAGAGCCTGCCTGCTGGCTTAGCTCTACCTCCTTCTCATGTGGGGTGCTGTTATTGATGAGGCAACAGCTCATGAATTTTGCGGCCCCATGAGGAACTGTTAGACTTGCAAGAACTCCTTGGTATCTGTATGTTTTTTTTGTTTTTTTTTTTCCTTCATGTGAAACTATGGCCTCAGTAAGGGAGTTAGGACTCATACCAGTCCTGCGTCTGGAATAAAGGTGTGAGTATGGGGGTGAACCAACATTTGGAGCATGTCCAGTGTTGTAGGCATACTGCTAGAGATTTGGGCACCAGGGAATCCCCAGGGCAAGTGTTAAGACTTCTGGTAAAGCAGAACTATTGTGTCAGGCTAGTACGTGTGATTTGAGCCTCTTTCCAGTTTGTCCCAGCCTACTCCCCAGTCATGATGTATTGAAATGAAATCATTTGTTGGAAATGTTTCTCAGTGTCATTTTCTCTGTTTTAGGAAAACAATTACAGCACTCGCTTTCTCTCCAGATGGAAAATATTTGGTTACAGGAGAGGTAAGTGGGAGAGAAGAGAGGCACACCTTGTCTAGCCCGTTTTGAAGCGTGGCAGAGTGTTAGAAAAAACAAGCCAGTGAATAACAGCCTTTGCCCAGAGAAACTTATCCCTTGAAGGTAAAATGTTGCATCCCTTGAAGGAACGATCAGGTTATGGGCAGCTCTGGATGGTCTTGCTGGCAGGTTTTTAGTGTGCTTTTTTTCATTAGGTTAGGGGATGCATCTTCTGCAGTGGCTTGTGTGGGCTGAAGGTAGACTGAAAGTAAGTGAGAGGACACACGCAGTGTGGCTATACTCTAGCACAGTGAAGAGTGCTTGGATGGCCCTTAATATCAAACAGAGTTTAGGACAAGGATAAGCTGAACTGTGGTGTACAAAAAGTACGTATGGACTGGAGCTTTTGGAATAGTGACAGAAGATCTGAGTGCCTGTGGTTTGGCACTGTATGTTTGACTGGAGGTGACGATTGCTTCTTCTTTTCAAACATGCCTAAAGGGGGGAATGTGGATAACTGCACTGCATGTCTGTTGTGCATTAGAAGCTCAAGGCATGGACTGTGTGTCATGAATTTGGAACTGCTGGATGTTAGAAATCTACAGACATGTTGACTGTCTCTCTTAGGGTTGGGCTCAGTTTGCTCTTTTTTGAGATTAATGGTAGTTTACCACTAGTCTGTGCCTCTTTAAGACATGGGGAGCAAGCATGTGTGAAACAGGTCCCCTCCTGAGTCTCAGCTACAGAGAGAAATATATCACAGCTCTGTGTTCAAGCTGTCAAGAAGGTGGCTGTGCACTCCAGAGGTCCCTAGAGCATTCATTGCAGTAGCAGCTATCATGTCACTGGGTGGCTCCACAGCTGGGCTGAGGATGGAACCTGTAGTGTTTCAGGACAGAGACTGCCTTGACACCTCTCTGACACCCCCCCACCCTCCCAAGATTTTCCACTTCTATACTGTAGTATGTTCTTAGTGCCTCCTTATACTCTTGAAGTCTTAAGATAAAAATATAAAAGTATTGTACATTTATATGAAATTTTCTTCTTTATATGCATAAGGAAATAAAAATCTTGTTTTTTGTACCTCTGCTACTTTATTTTTTCATGTGTGGTAGGAAAAGAAATGAAAAATGAATTGAATATTTTCCTTACTGACAGCCTAAACTATTCAGCTTGACACTTTTACTAGGGAAAAATCCCCCCCCCCTTGCTACAAAACATGTCTCACCCTGTTGTAAGACCATTTCTCTTTTTGGTATCCTCCCACATGCCTCCATTTGAGTTATTATTTGGTGGAGTAGTGTCCCCTGCTGGTGTAGCAGTCTCTTCTTACTTTGTCCTATGGGCAGTCCCACAGGGAAATGCTTATTGAATTCACTTTGTCAAACTGGCTTTTAGCAGCCTTGTGTTAATACTGCCTTGTTACAGTTCAACTTCCTGCATGACTGGATTTTCAGGAAGGCCCTTGGCCTGCCATAAGCATCAAATGTCTTCTGAATACTTTATATTTCATATATTTTTAACTTCCCATGGTGGCATAAATTCCTCATGTACGGGAGGCATACAGAGCTTGCTTTTGGTGAGCGTTTGTTATGTCATTGAATATGAATTCAATTTGTTAAAGTTTCTAAGTATATTCTAAGATGTTGAGAAGTATGTATGTGTGTGTGTATATATATATATATAAACATGTATGTATGTGTTTAAGTGCAGTAATTGCTTGGAAGAGCAACTGATTTATCTCACTGTAACATCTTGACAGCCGCCTTGAGACCCGAGCTCTGCCTTGCAGGAGAAAGAACTGTAACAAATACAGCAAAATCCAACCATAGCACTTCTCCAGGCTGCACACAGTCACTTGGCAAAGCTTTTGGACAAGGCAATTAAACACTCACAGTTCGGAGTTATTAAAGCTTTCATTTCTCTTTCTTGTCATAAAAGTTGCCTCTCCCACACAATCAGATGACTTAGCCATGTTCAGAAAAGGTACCATTTTGCCTCGTTGCCATGGAAATATTATCTTGCAAGCTACTGGTTTGGCAGATTGCAATGTGAAATAACAAATAGGTTCTGTAGTAGGGTTTGCTCATCAGACATATTCTTGGCCAATGTTTCAGCTCATCTGCTGCTTCTTGTTTTATTTTGGTTTAATAACAGATAAAGAAAAAAATTGAATTGTCTGGAAGAAGTTGCTGAATTGGTATTTCTGAAGTCTGTGAGTTTTTCTTTCTCTTGAGAACAAGTGTGAAAAGCACAGAGGGTCTGTTACCTCAGTGTCTTTATCACTACCTAAAGTACATTCTGCCAGCTTGCATTCATGTGTGTTTGTTACCTTTGAGACAGAAATGATAGTGTTAGTCTCCCATTTGCCTTCCTAAAATGATGTATGATAATTAATATGAACATTCACGTCATGTTTTTGTGTGGCATGACCTGATTTGAGGTCTCTGATGTCCGCATTGCATTAGGCAGTTCACTGAGTCCAGAGATGCAGTGTCACGTAATTCTCTTCAGAAACTGGCTGCGAATTCCCATTGCAGACATCAGGGATGTGCATGAAAAGTAGTGTTACAGTCTTTGTCCATTTTCTGAGGAGAGTAGGAAAAAGAGTGAAGCAGGAGACGTACCCTAACCTCTAAGACACTTCAGACACCTGTTCAAATGTATTCTCATTTGGTTGGCAGTCTCAATATGGGCTTAAAGATTTGCAGGAACTCAAGTCTAATCTCACATCTCACTCCCCTGCAATTCCGGCATATGGCCATCTTTTTCTAAGCCTCCCTCCCCACATGTGTTCTTGAACCTGTCAGAACCCACCTCAGAAGTTACGTTTACTGTTCTCTGTTGTTGTCCCCTCCAGAGCGGGCACATGCCAGCTGTTCGGGTGTGGGATGTGGCTGAACGAACCCAGGTGGCGGAGCTCCAGGAGCACAAGTATGGGGTGGCCTGTGTGGCATTCTCTCCCAGCTCCAAGTACATTGTGTCTGTGGGGTACCAACATGACATGATAGTCAACGTGTGGTCATGGAAGGTAAGTTCTCCAGGAGGTTGGGTAGACAACAATGTTGTTAAATAAAAAGGAGAGGACAGTAACGGTTCCATCTTGCTTCCAGCCTCTATTTTATTATTGTTAACTTTTTGACATTCATAGATGCAGACAAGTTTGGACATGACAGAGCTCCAATCCCTTACGGGTGGTCTAAATCACTTTATTGAAGGAGTATTCTCAATACTTGGAGACGTGTGACATCTTGCTGTCCTGTCAGAGGAGCCTGAACTTTGAAGCCTTGACAAAGTCTTGTGCTTTCTTAAAGGCTTGTTTAAAAAAAAAGATTCATGAGATTCAGGAAAGAAACTTTCTTCAGCCAGTGATTCTTGGTGCAGTGGATGCACTTGGCTCATTTTTTTTTCACTGTTTTGAGGTTTTTAATACTTCAATTCATTTGTTGATGATTTGGAACAGGAGCTTAGAGAAAGCACGGTGGGTAAAAGCTGCTGTAGGCCAAATGTCTGCCATTGTGTTGGGGCAACAATCTGTGGAAAGAAAAATAGTGTCTTATTCTTTAGAAAATGTTTGTGTGTGCTGCTTATATATAAAAAACAAAACAACCTCTTCCTAAAAGCAGTAGTCATAAATGGCACACTTTTGTCAGCTGTGTGCTGCAGCACTGAGAACCCACCACAGACAGAGGAGAAAACTTTTTAATTCACTCTTCTAATCATTGGGAAAAGGTGAGGAGGAGATAAATGAAGGGGTAGACTTTGGGGACAAGGAACTCCTGTCATCTGACTCTTCTGCTTAGACAGTGTCTGCTTAGACTGTGTTCTCCCTTTCCCAAGTTCTTTGACTTTTTGAGGTGCATAGAGAAGTGCAGCAGGTTTTGATTTGTATTTTGCAGTACAGACATGATTATTTCATATAAAGCTTCCTGTCTCGAAGGAGAAGAGAGAATTTGTGAAGAAACAAGTGCTGTTTTCCTAACAGAAAATACCTGTTTCCCAGCTTGAGTGGTTTGCCCACATTACTGCCTGTAGGCTGGGAGAACTCCTTGTGCTGTTTTATGGCCTGTCTTCCTGTTTATACAGGGAAATGGATTTGCTCTGAGCTCCCTGTGATTGTGCAATTAGCATATCAAGACTCAAACAGCAAGTTCCTGCAGGCAGTAGTGCAGGACTGCTGGTATGTTCTCAGTCCCAGTTGATGTGAAAGAGGGAATTGAATGTAAATGTAAATTGTTCTGTCTGCCAAATCAATGCTCTCAGCTTCCTCTGGGGAAGTTGTATTCAGAAGTGAATAGTGTTGAATAGTGCTGCTACAGTTATGAATATGTACCTGTAATTGGAGTAAGTTTCCTTTGCTTATGAGCAAAAAAAATATAAAAATTAAGCTATCTAAATGATTGTGTTTCCAGAAAAACATTGTAGTGGCAGCCAACAAAGTCTCAAGTAAAGTGACAGCTGTGTCATTCTCAGAGGACTGCAGTTACTTTGTCACTGCTGGAAATCGGCACATCAAGTTCTGGTACTTGGATGACAGCAAGACCTCCAAGGTAAGAAAAAGGCCATTAAGGGCCAAGCTTACAAGTACTTTCATCTTATGGCAGGGTGGATTTTGTCTTAGTAAGCTGTGGTAACTGGGAATTCTTTGATTTTGCTAGAATCATAGAATCATGGAAGAGGTTGAAAAAGACCTCCAAGAACAGCTCCACTTCCCTGGCTATCATGTTTTTATCTTTCTGTAGACTGGTAGCAAATGCATGCTGCAAAGGCAGCTTGTTTTACCCTGTGCTGAGGTAGGGCTACGGCTGTTGGAGCTGTACAGCATTTTGCTTGTTATATATAGTCGAATGTATGAAAGGAGAAAAAAAGGCAAGAAAAGAGCTGCAGCTATTGATATCCTTGCAGCACAGAAGTAGGGAAGGCTGTTTGATGTTGGTCCTGAGCATCTTGCGAATGTATTTTGTGAACTGTCAACAAAAGTGTTTAACCTAGGGAACAGGAATCAATATATGCTCATTCTTATGAGTGCACATGAACAGACATTCCTTTTTCATGCTTGGACTACTGGTTGACATTTGGTATAAATTGCAGATTGATCATGAAAAGGTGGCTATTCCTGTTGTTGATATGCTGTCTCTGGGGTCATGTGTTTGGAAGCCCTTTTTTGGTGGCCTTAATCATGTTGTGTCTCACTGAATTGTTAATACTGGTGATCCTCGTAGCATGCAACCAGTGGGTCCACAGCAGGTAAAGCATGTCACTGCATATCCTTGTAGGCTTTTTGCAGTTCTCTTTCTTTGAAGCCTTTCAGTACTTAAGGCTTGATGTTCTTTTTTTGTTTGTTTGTTTCTTTTAAAAAAAAACAACAGGTCTGTCTTCCTAGAGTGCCTCACTGTTTCTAACAACCTATATTGTTACTGATAGGTCAATGCCACAGTCCCCTTACTAGGTCGCTCGGGATTGCTTGGAGAACTGAGGAACAACTTCTTTGCAGATGTGGCATGTGGAAGAGGCAAAAAAGCTGACAGCACTTTCTGTATCACATCTTCAGGCCTGCTGTGTGAATTCAATGAAAAAAGGCTGTTAGACAAATGGGTGGAGCTGAGGGTGAGTTTTACGTTTGCCTGTTGTGTAATATTCATGCTGGCTGAAGCAGAGCAGGATGAGCGGGACAGTAAGAGCACTCGGATAGCACAAGCTGGCCACTAGCAGTAAAAGTCACTGAGCCTCTGCCACTTTGTGACTTACACTGGTTGGAAAACCAGACAAAAATGGCATTGCTTCTTGGCAAAGAGATTTTATTAATCATTAAGGGTCTTTCATTCTCAAGTCTGTCTTACAGCTACTGCCTTCTGGAAAAGCAATGTCTTGGAGTAGCTTTGGCAACCCCTGTGTTGTCCCTCCTGGGTTTTCATGTGTAAGAAGTAGTCTTAGTAGGATTCTAATTTCTGCTTTCTCTGCAGTATCTAACCTGTCTTGTGCATCTCAATTCTTGGTTTTCTAGGTAGTAGGTAGTGGATTTGGCTATTCTAAACCAGTGAGCCCATAGTTAAGAATTTTAGAGGGTGTATTTTCATTCATGTTGATTGTAAGATGTTCACCTCAAAAGGATCCAGTGTATTAAAACCAAGACAAAATCTTTGCATACTTTCTCTGAAGTGAAATGCCTCTTCTTTTCTTTCCTTTTTCTTCTCTAAACTCTGCCTTTCACTCTTGCTCAGAATACAGACAGCTTCACAGTAAGTTGGCGAACAATTTTGCATTGAACTCATCCCCTTATCACCACGGTCCATTTTTACCATTTTCTGCCATTTGTACAGATCCCATTGGAAGGGGGGAGAATGATTTTATTTTTCTTTCTTGACTTCTTGGACAGGTAATGTATCGGTGCAGTAGTACAGGGTGAGTTGCTGCTTTGCCTGCCAGCAGTGGTGAATGTCACAGAGGATAAAAAGCAGTGTTCAGAACAAGGCTGAAGTGGAAGCTCTTCAGAAAAGAAACGTGGATTTTTAGGATTTTCCTTACTCCTGGGGCTCAAGTTCATTTCACTTCTCTAACCATAGTTCCTTTGTCTGTCAATTTGCTGTTCATTCTATTGTGTGTTTGGTGACCTTAGAAGTGAGAGCGCATTGCTCACGAGCCTTGTGTGCTATGTCCTCCACAGACTACCGTGGCAAACTGCATCTCTGTGAATCATGATTACATCTTCTGTGGCTGCGCTGATGGCACCGTGCGGATTTTTAACCCTCTGAACCTTCACTTTGTCACCACGCTGCCAAAGCCGCATTTTTTAGGAACAGACATCGCGAGTGTGACTGAAGCCAGGTACTGTGGAGAGGGCGGAGGGGGGCAAGGAAGGCTTGTATGGGTTAAAACTGTTCCCCAGGCTTTTGCCATCTGCTGAGCGCTCTTTTTATGGACTAAAATAGGCAGTATGTGGCAGTATCCCTCCAGAATTGTAACAGCCTTGCCTGGCATGGCTGGGCTGCAGCCCAAAGCTGTTTGCTGGTTCACACAGAGTATCTTACTCCTCATCTCCCTGGGATTGCTCGGATTTATCTGGCAGCCTTTTGGCATTGGTTGCTGTGAGCAGGCAGGCAGAGAGCATATGGGATGCTGTGCCTAGCTTCATTTGTTCTGTGCCATGGAACATCCTTTGCTTATCACTGGTGAAGGTTGAAGACTCTCCTCTGTAGCAGTTTCCTTATATTAACAGAGAGCCCAGGCTCTCATGAAATATTATTTCAAAGGCTTCCCTGCAGTCTTTTACTGTTGCTCTTGGTCTTTCTTCTCTCTATCTTGTACACTGTTGTCTTGTTTTTTTTTCCCTTGCATCAGTATCTTCTGCCCTGTCTCTCAGTTTCTGACCTTCTGAGATAGATGGATAATTTCCCAGTCTTTTGCTATTGTCTTTTCCACTAGTAGGGAAGGAAATCTGAGGGTATTTGAATCCAGCCATCATTCTACTGGATATTTGGAGGGAGAAACAATTTTATTTCTCAACAGTTTTCCTCTAAACTTATTGGTAACTTGAGGAAAAATTTCAAATTGTGCACTGTGTAGCTCTCCTTTAGGGGATCGGTGAGATATGGAGGTAGGTCCAATAATTGAGCTAGAAAGAGATCTATCTCAGTTCAAGGTTTGTCATCTTTTGGTAGTGCTAAACCAAGCGATTGCATGCACAGACCTTTTAAAAGTGCTGTCTGCTGCTCTCATTATCAGTCAAGCTGAAACGTTCATGTGATTTTTAAACATGCATTCTTAAAGTAAACTGTAATCTTAATTTTTTTATTACTTCCAAAGAGGCTTGAAAATACAGGACTCTTTATATTCCTGTGGATGCCAGAGCCACCTTTTAGTTGATTGCAGCTGCCCACAGCTGTATTTATGACTATTTTTTTTGATAGGATTTGTGCTACGCTCCTCCAGACCTCAAAGCTACTTGCAGTAGCAGGTCTCCAATTGTTTGTTGTACTAGATGCATTTTGGCCCTGATTCTTGCATCTTCCTCAGTCCTTTTCGATTACCTATTGTCAATACCCTGTCGATCTGGCTATAATTACCTTACTCAATATTGTTAGCATCACTGAGGGACTGGGGAGATAGCTTCTTCTCTATGTGCGTGGCAGCAGGAGTTAATAGGAGACTTCTGTTGAGGAGACAGAGAGTTCATGTGGCATGATCTTGTTGTGACATGGTAAAGGGTGCATTTCCTTATTCTACAGAATTCCTCTGTATTTGAGTTTGCTTGCCTGCCTAGAAGGGGTTGCCGTCTTCAGTTTCCCATCTCATGAGTGTTCCAAGCAGCCCTAAGTAGCTTTTGTGGGGGGCAGGGGTGAAAGGGAAGCATAACAGATACGTGGCAACTGAAATGAATCATCCTTTGTCCGTTGTGTGATATGCTATCTTTTGAATGTGGCACTCTTCCCCTTCATTTCTGTACAGGAGCAGTTTCTGCAGTCAATAAACAAAAAATAGCACCCACCAAAAATGATCCTCCCTCCCTTTCTTTTGGGGTTGCTTGACTTGGATTTGCTACTTGATTATGTACTGGTAAATGATGATAACCTCCAGTGATGATTAAGTATCCTCTTTGGTGATCCTTCAGGGAGAGTGAAATGCCTGTCTGTGGTGGGACTCTGGGTTGTGTGGTAAGGAGAATGATTTTTGCTATGGGACTTCCTGGCTTTCCTTGGGACTTCGCTTGTTCAGCAGACAGGTCTTCCCAGCCAACTGTTCTTTCTGCATATATGAGCAACAGTGTACTTGCACTCCTGTTCTTGACCTCCTTGCTTGAACTCCAGGAGAGCACAAGTTAACCATCCTCTTCTCTCCTTGCACAGTCGTCTTTTCTGCGGTACGGCTGATGCGAAGTATCCAGACACAATTGCCTTGACCTTTGACCCCACCAACCAGTGGCTTTCCTGTGTATACAATGACCACAGCCTGTATGTATGGGATGTTAAGGACCCGAAGAAAGTGGGCAAGGTCTATTCTGCTTTGTATCACTCGTCCTGTGTGTGGAATGTTGAGGTAAAAATAGATGGGGAATGTTGTCTGCAGGTACAAGTCTTGGGTTGCAAGTTGTGGCTGGGGAAGTAATCTTAAGAACTACCAAACTTAAATGTAAACACTGAATGCAGAGAGAAAGAATTGATTCAGCTCTCCTTCTGTGATTACTGTGGTTATTATGGGGCTTGTGTTGGAGCTGGAGGCAGTTCTTTGGCTGCACTGCCATTGTGGACCTAATGCTTTAGATGCAGTGTGTTACTGCATCTTGCTACTAAATCTTGCTACTAAAAGATGAGAAGTCAGAGAAGGGATTGAACTATACAGAGCTGGATGGAGGGGCCTCTTTCACAAGTGCCCAAGAATTTACTGCTGACCTCAAAAAAGCTGCTTGAGGGCTGTGGTGAGCAAGTGCTCCGAAGTCAGAGGAATTAAACTAGTAAGGTCTTAGCTCTGATCCTCATTAACCCATTTACCAGTACTTCCTGCATTAGTCTCTCAAGTGGTTATTGCCTTCCATTTTATCTGGTTGACTTCCCTTGAATGGACATAGGAAAGGCTAGGAGATATAGGAAACAGTGCAATTGGTATGATGGTATATATCCTGACAGTGATCAGGAAAGAGAAAAGTGGAAAGAAAGTGGGAAGAGGTTGAGAGCTCTTCTTGTATATTGGCTAATTACATCTGTTCTTTCCTCCTGATTTACAAGTCCACAATAGTACTTGAAATTCTCAAACAACAGTGTAACATTTTTGCATAGCTTTTGAATCATTAGAAACAAAAGGTGCTGACTTATTGCAGGCTTCTACATTCAGGGAAGTGTGTTTATAATCTTGATAACATTTGAAGTGAATGTGAAACTCTAGTTTGGGGTCACATTTTCCTTAGGAAGATTTCTGTCTGTCTCCTGCTGTTCCAGAATGTAGAGAGGACAGCTCTTTGATTTAATTTTGTTATGAAATTTGCTGCTGGTGATGCCGGCGCATGGCAATCATATTCAGAGGTTGATTTTACCTGCCCTTAGATGTATCCTGAGGTGAAGGACAGCAATCAGTCTTGCCTCCCTCCTGGTTCTTTCATCACGTGCTCCTCTGACAACACCATTCGTCTGTGGAACACTGAGAGCTCCAACATTCATGGCACCGCCTTGCACCGCAACATCCTGAGCAATGTAAGATCCCAGGGTTTGATCTCCTCATTGCCCTCAGGATTGTTCTTTTTTAATATACAAGTATTCCCAAGTTAAGACTCAAACTTCTTTAGATGTCTAACTCAATGAAGGCTTCTCTGTAAGTAGAGCAAATGTTTAATAAAACATATGAAACTGAAGAAGCATAAAGCATATGTAAAGATAGTTTGTCTAAAATGGCCCTGGGGACTGTTGCTTTTAGCTGAAAGATGTCACCATTTACAGAATTACTGCCAGTGAAGTTTTTATGTTGTCCATTTGTAAGGATACTTCATCTTAATATTTTGTAACTAATTAATATTTTTCTGGTTTGTTGTTTACCCAGGACTTGATGAAAATCATTTATGTAGATGACAACACTCAGGTACTTCTGGACACAGATTACAACTCAGGGGGAAGTGCAGACAAAGCTGATACACAAGTGATGGACACAAAGGTGGGGATACGCACTGTCTGTGTGAGTCCCAGTGGGGAGCACCTGGCCTCGGGGGACAGGATAGGCACTCTCAGGTAATCCATGGAACTTCTTGCGTGGGATGAGAGCTGGATAGGCATGAGACTCAAACCCAGATCTTGCTGGTTTTATTGACATACTGAAATCAGTCATATTATGTCTTAGGATATATGAATTGCAGTCTCTGCAGGAAATGCTGAAGGTAGAAGCTCATGACTCTGAGATTCTATGCCTGGAGTACTCCAAACCTGACACAGGTAAATGCAATTATTTTCCTCTACTGGGCCAGCAGAACCAGACTTTGAAAAATACATCTCCCTTCTACTCTTCCTTGGGGTACTGTAGGCTGAGATTTAAACTTGTTCTTTCTGTTGTTGTGTGAAATCTGAGGGCATTTCTTTGTGTCCATCCATGCAATTCACTGTAGTATAATGTCATGTCCCTTAGATGACTTAAAAAGAAACTGTTGTAAAATGCTGACTGGAAGAGAAAAAGGATTTTCAGTAATGGTCTTACCCTCTTCTTGGCTTTCTTAAAGGGTTAAAGCTCTTAGCCTCAGCCAGTCGGGATAGATTGATTCATGTCTTGGATGCTGGAAAGGACTACAGCCTGCAGCAGACCCTGGATGAACATTCTTCTTCCATCACTTCTGTGAAGTTTGCAGGTAGATACCCACTGTCTCTCTCCAAAGCTGGACTTGAGCGCTGTTGTTGTCCTATTGTCTCACTATGGCTTTGAAGTCAACTTATCTACTTAAATACTAGGCTAGACCAGGCTAAAGATACAGCTATTTTTTTGTCATCTCCTGTAGCTTTTGTCCTAACAGAAGTGCCTTCTTTTCTCTTTTACTTCCCCATCCTTTTTTCCTCCTTCATAAAAAAGTGATTGAAGCCTCAAGCATTTCTTTAGAAATCTATTTTCTATAGTGGTTTATTCTCTATGACTAGTGTTAGATGGTTATGTCCTGTCCTTAGTGAGGAGAACTGTGGAACAGTCATCCTCTGAAAAGCACTAAAAGTCACAATAAATATTTTGAGATTAATTGGTCATGAATGGATCTGTCACTGCAAACCAATGTGAGACTTTGCATTTATGGAACGGAGCATGCTGTATCCCCAGTACCCTTACTACTGGTGCTCCAAAACATTAGTGTGTTTTGGTGTGCTATTGTTAGAGAGCAACTGGAGTTGGCTACCAGAGGTGCTGGTAGCCAAGGGTGACTGGAAGGCAGGCAGGGGTAGTGACATCAGTGACAATGGGAAAGTACACAGAACCTAAGCAAGGTGAAGCAGTCAGAGTTCAGTGACAGTAACTACATTAAGCCAGCAATTCAGATCATTGGACAAATCTATAGTGATAAGGCAAATCCAAGATCATGTCAGGAAAACGAGTCAGCAAGTTCAAAGTCAGTCTGGAGGAGACAGTAAGGCTGATCACAGTAAAGTGGCTTCCAAGCAAGCCTATAGCTGCAAGGCAGGTTTGAGTACAAATCAGGAAATGAATGTGAGGGTCAGGATTTGGATCAGTAGGGTACGTGGCCAGGCATAGGTGTGGCTGCAGTGCAGTTGCACTAATGTTTAGTTGGGGTTCAAGGATGAGAACCTGAGCTTAAAAGTAGCTTCTGTGTGAAGAATGGGGGCCTTGCTGAAGCTTCATAGAATACCTTCAGGGAACTTCTGCTGAGGATCTTTCAAGCTTTTTCTCAAGTAACTCTAAAGCCAGCCAAAGTCCTCTGATGGCTCTGTCTTTTTGGTGAGTTGGCTTTGAATGCAGTGAGCTGAACTCCCAGGAGACGGGGAAATGCACTCATAGACCTGGTGGCTAAGGCCATTGTGCAGTTTTATAACTAAATGCAGCCTTGCTCTAACTTGCTGTTCAAGTGGTCTTGTGTGATATTGGATACATTTTCATTCCACTGAGATGTTGCTTTGATGAAGGAATGGATTGGTGTGCTAAGGGAAGAAAAAATCTTGACCCTTAAATAAGAAAAGGCAGCAAGAAATATGCGACTGATTTTGATGACTGGAATGTGCCCTGTTGTCCATTTGCAGCTTATACTGAGTGTAACCTACTTTTTTCTTACCGTATTGCCACAAAGTGTTATGGCACATAGAGAATAAGAATGCTAGCACGTGACTGGGAGAGAAGACAATCACATCCTGATCTGTTATGTAAGATCTCTGTATTGAGAACTCGTGCACTTGGAGTATTAACAAATTCAGTCCCTTAAAAGGGCCTTCTATATTGCTGCAGCATCCTTATTGCTAAGGTAGGAGCCAGTTTTAGTTAATTAGGACTGGAATAAAAGAGCAGTGATACAAATTGAAGCATTTCTTTCACCTTGTATTTGTATTCATGTTTTGATCAGCTCCTTCATTTTTGTTCTAGCCAATGATGGGAAAGTGCGAATGATAAGTTGTGGTGCAGACAAGAGCATCTATTTCCGCACTGCGCAGAAGGTAACATTATTGCAGCTGTATGTATTGTTTTTTCAGTTTTTTTTTTTTTTTCAATAATCTCACCACAAAGGAACTAATTGAAAGAGTGATAACAGAGTTTATACAAGAGCTTGTTGCTGTTTCAGTCTCACTGTCTCCCACTCTGTCTCAGTACAAGAGATTACATTCAGAGAACTATTTCTGTGAAGCATGAAGCTGCCATGAGCCTGACCTCTCTCAGCGATATGCAAAGTAGAGAGCTGTTAGGATATCTACTTTTTTTTCTGCTGTCTCAGATACTGTGGAGAGTGGTGAAAGAGTGTGGGCTGGAGAGAGGAGTTTGCTACACTGCTCCCAGCTGACCTCATTAGTGGGAAGGGTTTATGCTATCTGTGTTATAAGGCTCATCTGTATTTAGAAGTTTTTAATAATTAGTTAACTACTTAATTTTGACATACATTTTACCCATATGCTTAGACAGGGGAAGGAGTTCAGTTTACCCGAACGCATCACATTGTTAGGAAGACCACTCTGTATGACATGGATGTGGACCCCAGCTGGAAATACGCAGCTATTGGCTGTCAGGATCGTAACATCAGGTTGGTTCAGTTCTTGTCTTGAAAGTATTGTTGCAATCATGAATGATCAAGGCAGTTCCAGTGCCATCATTGTTCCTTGGTTCTTTGCTGCAGCGCTTTGATCTGAGGTCTCACCTCAAACTCAGTGAGGTTGTTTCTTTTATCAGCAAGGGGTCAAAGTGTAGATACGCAGAAATGTCCATTGGGCTCTTGGCTTTTCACTACATTGCACTGCAGAACAGAGTCTTTCTGCTGGAGAGAGAAAGTGTGCCTTCCTTGGCAAGCACACCACTGAGCTGTGGGACAAGAACTTCTGTACTGTGGTCATTTTTGCTTTTAAAAATATGTCTAGTAAGAAGCTGTGAGGTCCTATAAAGTAGCTGGGACTGAAGGAACCTAAAACTGAGCTAGATGTGACTGTCTTTTTACAAGTGGAGTCCATTCTCTGTTCCCTTTTAATCCATTTGTCAATCTGTCTGCTTCTACATTCAAAGCAAAGGAGACTCCCTGTAGTTGTGTGTCTTCTGTTGTGTCTGGGTGAGATGCTTAGAGTTCTGGACATAATTTGGTGCTACTGCTAAATGTCATTTGTTTTTTGAATTCTTATGTAAATAAAGAGTTTTGCTCTCTTAAACATTACATCTTTTAGTATGAAGAAACCACAGGTATTTTTATAGGAGGTGGAACTGGATGGAGCTTGTTACCAGCCATTCCTGATATATAATGGTTAGCTGTTACAAGGTATCACGAGGTTCATTCCCTCTTACTTGACTCCTCTGCAGTGCCCTGATACTGTACTTACTCTTGATCAAAAGCTTGAGAATCAAACCTGAATTTTAAATCAGATAATCTACTTGGTACTGAATCATCCATTCTTGGGCCTCTACATTACTTTACTGATTGTTTCTTAAACATTTAAATGGTGATTATAGTTTGCAGAGGCTGCAGCTCCCAGGGGTGAGGCCTGTCATGAGGAGAGGAAAGAGTGAAGGTTCCTGGTGACAAAAGCCACAGAGCAGTATGTGGTTAACATGCGTATGTTGTCTTACTTTTCCCTCAGGGTTTTCAACATAAGCAGTGGGAAGCAGAAGAAGCTGTACAAGGGATCCCAAGGTGAAGATGGCACCCTCATCAAAGTAAGCTGTTTTCTTTCTTCTTCCCTTTTTATTTTTCCTTCTCTTCTGAGTGCACCTTAGAGCTCAGAAAATGATATATGAATCTGGACATAATGCTGTTTGTTTTGTTTTGTTTTGTTTTTTACCCTTCTTGCCTGCTCTCTACTTTGCTTTTCCTTATCCTGCTTCTTCTTCCTTGTACCTCTGTCCGTAAGGACTGGAGGACTGGTAAAGTGTTTGGATTTCATCAGGCTGAAATAGGAAGAATCAGTGGATGATCATAACTTCCCTGTCCCCTGTCTGAAGCGAGACACAGGGTCATACTGTAGCAGCAAGCAGAACTGCAACAATATTCATCAGGAGATAATTCAGTCTGTTTACTTTAGTCCTTGTATTTTTGCTTCAGATATCTCATTGTGACTTTCTTGATTGTTGCTGTCTGTTTTTGAAGGTGGAGTTTGACTGGAGTTTGAGAAGTGTTGTTGCCAGAGGGCAAATACAAGTGGCTTTGTATGCTGATGAAATTAAACAGCATCTGCCTTAAAAATCTCATGTTCTCTGGGCCTCGTAGTGCTGAACAACCCCAGTACTGTTTAGGTAGTCTCTTCATGTTTCATACCTGCTGAGTATGTCTAGGCTTTGGAGCAGCATGCATGCATGCATCTACCACTTTGTCCTTCCCCTGGTAAAACAAGTGTTGTTATAGGGTTGGTGCTAAAAATGATGCTGGTACATTGAGGTATGGAAGAGTTGTATCCTTGTCTTCAAAGGGGAAAGACCAGTTGACAGAACCAAAATATTTCTCCAGTTACCAAACAAGCTTCTTCACTGTGCTTATTTTCACTATTAATTTTTATAGTTTTTAAAACATCTTTTTCTATTCAGCTTCACAGGCTATCAATATCATTGATTGATATAAATAACTGGCTCAAAAAATGGAGGGGAAAGCAAACAGCTTTGTTCAATGTCATCTTTTCTGTTTTAAAGAGGAAGATAAATTCTCTTTCTCTGTGTCTATTAAATTCCTGAGAAGCTTTTATAAACTCAGATACTTGATTATGTTTTTCTGTTCTCAAATCTTGAAATGTTGCTTGAAGCTGGATTCTTTGTTTTTAATATTTGATTCTTTCATGTGTAGCACAAGTGGGGAATATCAATTGTTTTTAATATTGCTTTGTTTATTTTTAGGACAGTTATATAACAAAAGGATCATAATTGTCTCTGGAATTTAAACTTATTTGGCATGTTGTTCTGAGATCATTGCATACATTTAGCAAGTAGAAACCCAAATAGTGACATGTGAAGCCAAAGATACTGCCTAGCCAAAGAAACCTATCATTATTTAAATATAATAATTTCTTGAGAGAAACACAGACTTTTGCTCTCACTTCCTCTAAGTTCTACAAAGTATAAAGCAGAACATTTGCTGAGAACAGCTGTATTTACTATGTGGTGTAGACTTTAGTCCTACTGAAGTATTTGATGCAAAGCCACCAACCTCCAGATCTGGTACTGGATCACATCTTTAAAGATAATTGTTCTCCGTTATCACTTAACTGTGGCAGCTCTGATGTTTTTTAAAACTTTCTTTTTTGTTTTAACCTTATGGTAAAAGAAAATAAGACCCTCCAGTACTGTGAAGGAGGTAGGAAAGAGAAATATGGGCCTGTGTATTGGTTATGGTGCCTTCAGAGTCATGAAGGCATTTAATGTAAGTACCTTTAGTCTCTGATTGGGTTGGAAATAGCTATTTGCATTTCATTCTGTTAACAACTGTGACTGTTTTTGGAATTCTGGACCATTTTCATGCAGTTTGAAAGAACTTCATCAACAAATCTGCACTTCTCTTACTTCCTTAACAGGTGCAAACGGATCCCTCTGGGCTTTATATTGCAACCAGTTGTTCTGACAAGAACCTCTCCATTTTTGATTTCTATTCGGGCGAGTGTGTTGCAACCATGTATGGGCACTCAGGTAGGGCATGTAAATTTCTGGAAATGCTTTTTTCTCCTGGGGACTATATTACTACCTAATACTAGTCAAAGCTTTCTGAAGGTTTCTCCCTACCGAAGTTTACCTAGAGGGTATTTTGGACTAGGTTATATTTGAGTTATAGCTGTAGTTTATTTCACTCCAATTTAAACCCTTCTAGAATCAATTTTGCACACGTGCATGCCTCTTAGGCTGTGTATTTATTTGCACAATTAGTAGCCTGTATAAGGTAGTCTTTGTTTTTTCAGTGTATACCATCAGCTCTTGCCATGCAGAGGCTATTCCATTATAGCCAAGAAGAAACTTCAGTCTTCATGCTTATTTTGCCTTATGAGACCCTTTGTATTCTTTGTTAGATGCTTATGGTAATTGGGACATACTGATATGTCATGTGTGGCTTTAATCTGTCTACCTGTCTTCAACTTGGCAATTCAAATTCTATTTGGCTAATTATCTGTTCCACTTATGGGAATAATTAAAGAAAGGTTTAGTAATTGTTCTATATTTCAAACAGAAATTGTGACTGGGATGAAATTCAGTAATGACTGCAAACATCTGATCTCTGTTTCTGGTGACAGGTAAGAGGGGATTGCTTGTTTGTGATAAAACTTTGTCATCTTACACTAGAATTAGTTCGTCCTGAAGGAAGGTTGATTTATTTTATGAGTAATGTTTTATGAAATCCAAAGAAACATCAGAGCTTTCTGAAGCCAGTATGAGTACTGTTGGCAATGGTTATCCTTCCATAAAACAAGACATCCATGTGAAGTGTTTTGGTTGTGGTTTTCTGAGTACAGGTACTGTTCCCTGCTAGAAAGGAGACAAAGGATGTGGCCTCTTGCCTTAGCACCCCCAGGTCTATAACATAATGCAGTGTAATGGATTTTGTGATATTACAAACAGTGGTGCTGAAACTTTGTCTCTTAGGCTAGAGTTTTCATCAGGTGAACGGGCCTGTCTAGAAGAAAAAAGATTTGGCTTGTCCCCAGTCTTTCTGCTCCTGTTGATGTGGTCCTTTTCCCTGCTCCCCTGAGTCAGAGTCTTGCAGCTGACTCCTCGCTAAGGTGGTGTGGATCACTAAATCAGCCCTCCACCTCCCCCCAGCTATAGTTTCTACTGATTTATTGAGCTAAATCAGCTCATGAAAACTGTAAGTAATCACTAGACTGAGCCTAGCTGCAGAATAAGGACTTACTTTGTTGTAGATATCTGATAAATTCCAGAAATGTGGAAGGTTTGAGATACTCAGTTATTCTTGTGATTTTAGTGCAATGTTCCCTCGTTGAGTGTCATTTTCTTCACTAGGGGTGTGGAGGAGGTAGATGAGAAGTGAGAAAAGGATTCATGAAGAACTTAGCTGTAAGGAGAATAGAAATTGTGTTTTCTCAAAAGAAAACAGAGGAAAATAGTTTGTTCAAACACTATAGCATGTGTAAAGAATGAAACAGAATACAAAGAAAAACGGAGATGAAGAAGAGCACAAGGACTGAGAGACTTGGGAGAAAATTACTGCAAGGGAAAAAAAAAAAAAAGTAAATAGTAGAATAGTAGAAGCATACTTATGCAGAGCTTCGTGTCAAATCGCAGTGTATTTACAAGTTCATGCTGTTTGCTGCCTGGTCTGATTGCTGTGGGGGTGGGATAAATGAACAAGCCATATTTGCTTTCTGAATTTGTTTATTGCTTTTTGGTGTTGTCTTGGAAGCTGATTATGTTGCTGTTACATTCAAGAGAGCTGCTGTTTGAGGAGAAGCAGCTGGCTGCCTAGGGTTGCCATAGCGCCCAGATGCAGTGCCTCACAACTTTCTCTTTGCTAAAAATCTGAGGAGGGGAATGACAGCTGTTGATGAGAAGCTTCTGTGTCTGTACATGACTTGAATAGCTGGGAGTGACGTTCCTGAACTTTGTCACACAAACAAGTAGGACTGAGGGGTGAGAATTGTCAGCTTTTTGGGAATATATCCACAGGCTGTTTTCTTGTTTGTTTGTTTCCTTTTGGTGTAGCATGAAAAGGAAACTTTTTAAAATACCTTTATATGAGACAAAGTAAGCAGAGAAGATATGGTTGCTTTTGGCATTTTTTCTCTGGTCCAGGAGACTAAAAATTCATGATTGTTGTTCAAAATGACAGAGCAGATGAATTTTTGCAAGCAAGCAAGGGAAAAGGGAAAGATTCTTGTTGAAAGTTCCTTGGTGAACTGGAGTACCAGTGTATATAGTGACACTGCCAGTTCTTGAAGATGGATTCCAAAGTAGCATGCAGGATATGATAAGTGATAGCAGTAATACCGCCTCTGTTTCTACATCAGTGTAAGTACATCCAGCTAGACAGGAAAGATGGGTGAGATGAAAAGAACTAGTTAGCACTGAGATTATATTTCAAAGAAAATACTGGTTGCTTTGTTTTCTATTACCTGAAGATTAAATACTATATTCTTTAATATGATGTGGAATTTTTTTTTTAAGCCAGATTTCTGAAGAAAAGGAGATCAATGAGATGACACTGTTTGCTTCCTTTTCTTAAACACTTTTGAAAAGCTAGTCAGATAGAGGAATAAAGGTACAAGGCTAGACATGAGACTGAACAAAACTCTGCAGTTACTCTAGTCCATTGGGAACCTTTGCCAGGCAGGTTTTACCTTTTTCTCATGAGGCATGTGGTGGGATTGAGTTTCCATGATGCTGCTACTCTGTGTTTCTGCCTGTCACAACTCAAAAGTCTTGTTTGCCTTTGCAAAGGGAATTGATAATTTCAATAAAACTGAACTGAGGCTTAAACCCAGCTTCACCCACCTTTCCTTCTTTCAGTTGTATCTTCATCTGGCGCCTGAGCTCAGAGATGACCATCAACATGCGGCAGCGACTATCTGACATGAAGCAGAGAGGGAAGCAGGCAGAAAAGTCTCCTCCACACAAGACAGCTGGACTTATGAGGTGAGCAGAATAGACTGAGTGGAGCTTGTTGGCTTTTTGGGGCTTAAAGTGAAAAGTATGGCACTGGGTTCAACTGAAAAGTTTCTTCTGTTTCCACTGATACTATTTGAAAAGTTCTGACTGTTCTCTTGTGGTATTTGTGCCTTTCCTTTGGGTATAGAAACCTGACTGTGGTCTTCCAGACAGGCTTACCTAGTGTTGCTTCACTGATTGCAGTATGCATATAATGTCACTGGTGTCTTAATTTAGTTTACTGATGCGGTCAGAAACTTCTAATAAGCAGTTTATCTAGCAGTGCTGAGATTAGTACAGGGCGTCCCACCAGGGAAGAATTGCTGCTTCATGAATAAAGTTCTGTGAGTCTGGGCTTAAATGCAATTTAGAAATCATTTTCTGCAGTGCCAGTACTGAAATATGCCTGTGAGCTGTATGAGTTAGCCACGTTGATTATAATTCTGAAAGAGTTCTTACAGTTGTGCTGTTTCTTTAACTATTTTCAAGAGGCCTTGGAGAAAGTCTCCTTTAATTATAAATAATAAAAATAATTTCCATGAGAAGTTCTTGCCAGCTGAATCATACTATTACTTCTGCTCAGTAAACAACATATCTAAAAGCAAACTACCACAGCCTACAAGCTGAATAGATCTAAGTTTATCTGGTGACATTTTTTTCTTTAAAAAGTCGTGCTTAAAAGCAGGCCCTGTTTTTATACAGAACACGAGTGGCAGAGAACTATGAATTACTAGTGTAATGTGTGTCGTTTCTCTGTACTTAGTATGTAGCTGAGACTCATTTGACCAAAAACAATGCAGGAAGGGGTGCTAAACAAGTGGGATCAAAGTGGGGGAAAAAAAAAAAGGATAAAACAGCTTTTTGATGCTATGTCCCACAGTTTTCTTCTCCAAATATCTACAATTTGAGTTTTGGGTATAAAGGTGCTAAAGCATTGGAAGACTTACCATACTGGTCTTTAGAGTATCACAAGGAACTTCCCACTCCCTTAAGGAGCAAGTAGCATTTGAACAAGTCTGTCTGCATAGTTTCATTTGGGAAGGTCTTGATCTGCTCATTCTTGAAACAGCTCTTGCCTAGGAATTGTTTTCAGTAATGATATGAGAGAACTCGTGAAGCCTTTTTTCTAGCCAAAATTCTGGAACTGTCAAGCTATGTGCTTTTTATAGCAGACTCCATTATTCCAGCAGCTGCAGCCTTACCCTACTGAGGCTCAGCCTGTGACAGATAATCCCAGTTCTCTTGTGCATTAGGTGATACTTGCTTCCGTCACACATGCTTGCTGAAGGGCGGTGTTAGTGCCACGCCAACTTCAGCACTTTATTAAACTTGTTTGGTAACCTCTTTGCAAGCTTGGAATCGTCTTGTTTGGTCAGCTTTGAAAGCTTGTTTTCGGTTTTGATCGACTGCTGTGGTCTAGGGAGATCAACAAAAACGTAACTCCAGAGCATTTTGGATTGGGACTGGATATGGAGGAAGAGCCTATTGGACCAGCATTACTGAGGTGGGAGAAGAGAAACAAATGAATCTGGTTTTGTAGATGCTTTGTATCTGTTCCGGTTGTGTTCCGAGTCTGTATGGGTTGGTGGCAGTGGTGTTACACTTAGTGGTATAAAACCTGATGTCTCAAAAAGACTCACAGTAGCATAAGAAAGCTCTGAACCTGATAGTATGTCATTTGTTTGACTAGGTTTTGTCTAGAATGGTATTGCTGGATTTTGATGGGGGTAGTGATGCATTCTACTACTTCCATAATGTGAGAGTATGGTAAGATGAATAACCAAAATAATACTGGGGAAGAAGAATGGACTGAGGAGCAGTGGGGAGCTGGAACAAAAGCACTCTCTCTGTCCAGCTGCAATTGACAGGGCAGGGATTAACCCAGGTGAATAATCTCTGGAATGTAAACACAAAACATGCCTTTCTGGGTCAAACCACTGGTTCATAAAGTTCAGTATTCCATGTCTTTTTAGTGAAAGACTTGAGAGCCTTGTTATATGGACCTTTGCAGTGTGCTCACCTTATGCTCAGTTGTTGCATTTAGGGTGTTAGGTGCATCTGTGTGTTCCCTTCAGTATTTGGTCATTGTTCACTGAATTTGTATAAATCTCTTTGGAACTTTGTAATATTCTCTGCCTCCGCACCCCACATTGTGATAAGATACAGGAGTTCACTCCTCTCTATGGAAAGAAACATTTTTTTCTGTTTTAAACTACACTTCTGCTAGTTTTGTTGAAAGTTCCCTGGCTCTGTGAGCTTGAAACTATAGTTCTGCATCCAGCTATCTGTCATATCCAAGGTTTTGTAATCCTCTCTCATCACCTCTCCCCATCCAACATTTCCAAATGAAATCCTAGCTTTTTTTAATACCTCCAAGAACTTCTAGAGAGACTAAAGCTGCTGCTCTGAATGGTTTCTGCCTCCTTTGACGGGATGTTGGTTTATTTTGAGACTAATCTGACCTGTATGACCCACAGTTTTCCACATACCTTCCAGTTCTCTCTCTGGCTGAAGAATTGCTGATGTATGCTTTTCTCTTATCTACTGAACACGAGAAGCTTTCATTGTTCAGGATGAAGAACTTGTACTCAGCTGATGTTGCTGATACATTTTGGTTTTGAGACATCTGAGTTTTCAGCAAAGGAGTCATGTAGAATCCTTTTAATACAGTTTTGATTTTGATCCAAGTATGCATTTATGGTTTAGAAAAGCTTGTCTCAATTTTTTGAAAGTTTTAAATTGATTTTATTATGGAATGTTTAGAGGGATTATAGCCTTGTTTATACATTTTGATTTTAAAAGTCACTTTTTCTGTGACTGGTTGAAGCACTAATATAAATAGCAGATAGAAATGGTATCCAAATTAAATTGTCTAAAATTAACATGTGCTTTTGAAAAAGTACAGTGTGCCCTTGGATCTACTTGGAAAGAGCTGCTCCTTATCAAATTCTCAGTGGGACTTTAGTCCAGTCCAGGAAAGCTGTGCAGTTTCCATGTCTCAGAATAGGTTCAGCTTTTGATGCCAGATCAAAAGTGGTGTCTGAGTTGAGCTGCCTTGGTTTTAACACCAGGGAAGCTGTGAAGGCAGCAGCAGCACTGTGATCTTTCTGTCAGGAAAAGTTGGGTTACTTTCATTTTAAAACTCTCAGGCATTTGACAGAGGGTGGAATCTGCTGGTGTGCTCTGCCACGTAAGATGTTGAAGTTTGATAAATAGGCATCTAAAACTGACGATTTAAGTAGGGCAGGATCAGAGTGGCAGTACTGATAACACATCTGTTTAAATGGATAGATGACATTCTTGTGTTTTGGTCTTGTGTTATTTTAAAAAAAGAAAGAAGGATTATATTCAGGAGATGTAAAATAATACAGAGTGCCCTAGCATTAGATATTCTAAAGGTAGAGCTCCATGTGGCACTTATAAGTCTGTGTTATATGAGTGTCCTAATCACTTTCTAACTGAAAGTCCAGCCCTGCCATTGACCCTTTGCTGTTAGACCCTGCAGAAACCACAGAGTGCAAGACCCAGGCATGGTGCTAGAAGGGAGTAGCTCCTTAGCAAAGGAGTGAAACATCCAACCAGTTAGATGTTAAGAGGTCTAATAATTCAGCCCTTCTTTCTTCATAAACTGCCCATAGAAGCCTGATAAGCACAAGCAGAAAGCTGCTGTCAGAGTCACTGATACAAAATTGATACTGCCTGCCATATATAAATATAGTATGCCTTGCAAGATAAATTGCCTCATAGCTTGCACTTCATTGGGATTCCCCTGCTCAGACACAAGAACATGAGAATGACAAAATGGACGCTTAAGACCATGGAAAAGATAAAGAGACTGACAAACTCAAATGTCAAAAATAGACAGTACAGCCAACATGAAACTGTTTCACTTGAGGACTCAACAGACTACACTGTCAGTTCATTATTCTTTTGCCAGCACACCTTAAAGCTCATCTGAAAAGACTGGATAATTATTGCTCAGCCACTCCAACAAATGCAAATTAAAGTCATGCCACTATGTGGGAAGAGGAAAAAATTATAATACCTTAACGAGTGTCAAAACTATGTTTTAATATTGTCTGCTATCTGTCAGCTGCAGGAGAACTTGGTTCCTGGCCAGGCTACTCTGCATCTGGTAGATGAACTATATTTATCTCATAAATAATGCTTGGTACTCAACACCCAGCAGCAATATCCTATAAACGTCACTAATGATGAGTTTGGCACTGCAGCTTAAGGCCATAAAGTGGATGCTACTCAAATTTATTTTGGGGATTTTTCATTTGCTTAATTATTGTCCAAAGTGGATTAAATCATTTGGTTCTCTTGAATGAAGGGGTGAGGGGAGGGACAGGAAAAAGGGAGGAAAAAAAAAAAAAGATAATAGATTGGTACAGGTAAGTGTCCTTACTTGCTGGGAAATTCTGTGCTTGTGTCTCTGAGGTCTGTGTGGAAATGCTTGTTTGATCTACTTCAATTGAAGATCTTCCCAAAGTATTTTTTACGTTATTCCTTGTGCCTTACGGTTAAAAAATGCGGCATGGCACTCTTACAGTGTGTGGGCTGTGCACCATGCAGAACCTGCATGAAGTCCTTGATGTGAACTGACTCCTACGTGATAATTTGCCATATATCTAGTTGCTGTCACACAGGGAATATGTCTATGACATTTTTGATGTGTAAAATAATTCCGGAGAGAAAATACTTAAGGGTGGGAAAAACACTTGACTTTCAAATATGCTGTACTGTCCTGGCTCTGAAAAGGAAAGCCAAGTTTCATTCCACTTAAACTGCTCTGGCTCATTTACTTTTGCTCTAGCTTCTGTGATCCTTCCACGCATAAGAGAGAATTTCTATAGAAGGTTCAACACACCATTTTGCAGGGTTTAACTCATGTTATTTCTCAAGGAATGAATTTTGCTAGAACTAGGAATGTTTGTTAGAGTTGAGACACCACCTGAGTGTTATCTGTAGTGGGGATAAGATGGAAAACTGTAGGATTTTAAATGGTGAGCAGTTCTTGAGACAGACTGTAATACTACTTCAAATTTCTGCTTCCCAGGCATGAATCCATATCTGCCCTATCCTCTGTGCCAGCACTTTCATCAGACAGTGACAAGGATGGTGAAGATGAAGGGAATGACGAAGATGAATTAAGTGGGCTGCAGTCTTTCCATGTTCAGTCCAACTGCAACACTGAGAGAGACTCAGGTAATAATGGAAGAGGGGCATGGGCAGAGATTGAGAGAAAATGTCATGTGTGTGAAGTGAGGAAGAGACAAGATGCTGAGTTAGGGACAATAAGGTCTTTTTTAGAAAGAGAAAGTCCAAAACACAAATGAGTGGTTCAGCAACACTAGATAATGTTGCCAATTCCAGCATCTAAAGAGGGGTGTATTTCAGAGCTCAGTTGTTAAATTGCCAAGTTTCTTCCTAGTTCCAGCTGCTCATGCAGTTTTTGCATTGGTGCCCTGGGGCTTGGTTCTACTGTCCACAGAAATCCAGTGCACCGTAACTTTTTTTTTTTTCCCCCAAGCCTTTGATGGACCACTACACAGTGACAAATGTTCTGCTGAGTCAGATAAAGCCATATGTCAAATTGTCTGTTAGAAATTTGATATAACGATTTGGTAGTGCACAAGAAAACGTTTTCACAGCAGTGCATGGTTTCAAGTGGTATAGCAATGCTGCAGTGGAGAAAGATGAGATAAGAGGTCTTTTAAAAAGGCAGACTGCTGGCCAAAGATATCAACCTGGTATGTATCTTTTTCCCATTCCAGATCCAGATCTTACCCTCTCAAGAAGCCTTTCCCATTGGGAAATGAGGAGGGTGAGTTGCTAAACCTCCAAATTGTAGTTCTAATGATGGGGAAAGTGGAAAAGAAATTCTTATATAGATTAAAAGTTCTTCATTTGCACTACTGGAAAAGGTACAGCTGCAGTGGGAAACCATTGAGAACCTCCTTGGTGAAGAATGATTTGGGGATGGTGAAATCATGCCTAGTTAAGAGACTATTTCACTTCAAATCTCTACATCTGTATCTTTCCATCAGATGTTATGCTTTAGTCCCCTTCATTTCTGCCCTGAATGTCATATAGAATTGAAGCTCATCACATCCTTGGATGTGAGTGAGGCACTTAAATGCTGAGTCATGCAAAAAACTGCAACAAAACTGTAATCTTTACCTTAATACCTTTAAGATTAAGTGAGGAAATTTAAACTGTTGGAGAGCTTTGGGGCTTTTATGAAAACTGATATAATTGTGTTTTGCTACAGGCTGCATGCCTTCTATCCTGTTTTTCTGTCAGCGGAGCTGAATCGTTAAGATTGTCTTTCTTTCAATTTCCTCCAGGCCAAAGAGATAGCAGCAATCCAGCGTTCGGAGGCACCAATGAGCAAAGTGCCTCGACAACGTGGGCGCTGGTCCCAGCCAACCAACAATATAGAAATGACTGTGAAATCCATGCTTGACTTGCGTCAGTTGGAGTCTTTCTCTGTTTCCCGTTCTCCAAGTCGAGATTCATTGTCTCAGAACAGCAATGGGGATGATAGAGAAGAACAGGCTGATCTCCCCGTGCACATCAACAAAGTAAGGGCGATGCTTCTTGCTGGAGATGAAACTACCCCAAGTACATCTGTCTTGCCTCTGTTCTGTATTTACTACTGTATGATGCCATTCTTTATATCTTGAAATGGAACTAAAAATGCCTTCTGAGAAAACTGCTCAGCTCTGCAGTTGTTAGTACTCAGAGCAGAGCACATATGGGATCAAGGTTTCCTTCCAAATATACAGGGAATACCTTGTATTTTCTCTTAGTTCCTTGATTACTTGTAGTTAAAACAAGCTGAGCATGGAATTACATGCATGTGTGCCCAATTTCCTGCTAGGAAAACTAACTCCAATATATTGAAATGTGGCTCAAATGAGACCCTTACCTGTGGGTTGTGCTAGATTATTGTCATCCTTGAAACATAGCCATGATCTCTGTCTCTTAGCCACAGCAAGCAACGTGTTCATACTTCAATACTTCATAACACATAATGTGTTCAATACTTCAGAAGATTAATACCTGTTTTCCAGTAACAGCGTGTCCTGGTGCTTACCCTCATTAGCTTTTTCTTCTTTTGTAACTTTGTGACTTGAGGAGAGTTTTGGACTCACTGTGTGCAAATCAGCCAGTGATTTTTAGCTTTGACCCACAGACTTTTCTGAACTATGCCTGATTGGTCTGGAAAAGGTAATAGAAGCACCTGCTTCCAGGTAACTTATGCTTCTCTTGTGAGGACAGAGAGGTGTGAGGAGTCTAGCATTCACTGTAGAATTTTAGGGGATTATAAATCAAAATTAGAATAGGAAACTGCAACAATCAAACTTCCTAGATGAGGAGGAGGAGAGACATGAGAGTGTTGCCTTCTAATCTCAGATTTTTTAAATTATGTTCTCTGCTGTAATGTGTACTCTCTAGCTCTGCACAGCAGCTACTGACTTGAAATAAAAACACTGGTAATATCTAATATTCTGTATTTTTTACTAGGTTGGAAGCTCAGTAGCTCCCCAAGACAACCGATCTTGTGTACGACCTCAAGTGATTCGGCTCCTGTCTTGTGAAGAGGGGATTTTCTCTCAGGAACTGGAACCATCTGAGAGTGAGGAGTGTGTAATCTACCCTGAGCAAGATGAAATCCATCCCACAGACCCTAGCAGGTTAAAAACAAAAATGAGCCTTCCGCTGTGTATGCCTTACACCTTTCTTGTTCTAGGTTGCTTGCAGCTCGTATGGTAACTTAAATGAGTTGACTTACTGTCTAATTGATGCCAGATACATTTAGTTGAGGGTTTTATGACATCCTGATGCTAAAGGAGGCTGAAACGAAGAGGGTACCATTAAAATAATCTTTTATCTAAGGCTGTGTGTTAGCAGCCTCTTCCAATATTTTGCTTTCTCCCTTATCTGGGTTGAAATAAGCAAGAGAAAATTTGAAAGCTGGAAAACCATCCAGCAGTGATGTATACAGGATAGTGAAACATCTGCCTGGGAGAAATGATGCGACACTATCATTTGTGATAATTTCAAACCTAATTGGGCTACAATCTAACACATGTAGTATGTGATGACACTGTTGTGGAAAATGTAATAGGCTACATGAGTTAGAATTTGCAGGGATGCTGGAGACAGTAGAGAACCTTTATCCTTCTCTGCTGTTTCTTCTGTTTGAATTTTACTTTACTGAATTTTCTGCATTGTTTCATGTGCCGTTTTTCCTTCTCAAATATTATTCTTCCCTTCTTAACCTGATGCTAATAACTGTTTAATTCCCTATGTCTCTTCCTCCTCTGTTACAAAGAATGAGCTGATAGTTTAGACAGACTTTTACACAAGAGAGTACGTGCCAAGATTTTGCAGTTGAAGCTGCTAGTTTTTTTTTCTCAGTTTCTTTTGATTTACTTCTTAAACTTTACTATGATAACAGTATGGACAAACCCACATGCTGTTCCAGCATGTAAGAAATGGAGGCATTCTGTTGATGTTGGATTGGGGCTGGACATGTCTCGAAGTATGCACATTTTGCACTCGTACTGTACTTGCCATTCATTTCCACTGTGTGACTTCTGCAGTCTACCTTGTCTTGCCCTCAGGCATCAGGCAAAAAGAGCAGCATCTGTGTCACTCAACAGAGTATGACTCATAAAGTCATAAAAGAAATGAGGAACTCTGTCATACAGTACTGTGCTTTTATATGATATTCTTCATATTAGTCTTGCTCAAATCTTCTCTGTTCTGTAACACTAAAGTGACTCAAAGAAATGGGTTGTAAACATGAAAAAAAATTACTGTATTAGGGCTAAAATCTCTGACAAACTGGAGTTTGTATCATGTGCCCGATCTTAGTCTTGGTCTACTTGATGAAAACACTTCTTGTTTTTCAACTGTACTGGAAATGGAGCCAGGGCAGTGCAGTGCTGATACCTTGTAATCATGGGAAACTGAAAACACCCAGAAAGTCAGACAATCCCCTTGAGACTTCACTGTCCAAGCTTAATGAAATGCAAAAAATGTATTATCATGAAAGAAGTAAACGTCTTTTTCTCTTGAAAGCCTTAATTTCGTAATCAAGGTTGTTATTAACACAGGTAAGGCCTTAAAGTCAGACTGCACTCTTCTTTACATCTAAAACAAGTCTCTTCTAGTGCTGTATCTTTCCTGTCTCTCTTGTAGCGAGTACCAAGTAAAAGCACTGCCCCATGGGAAGCTAAATAGAAGTTATCAGACCAATGGATGTCCAGACAAACACAGTCCAGACAGTGCCTGCTCTGTAGATTACAGCAGCAGTCGTCTTTCCAGCCCAGACCATCCAAATGAAGGTAAGATGCAAAGATATTATAATATTATAATTTGTACCTGATGTGAAACACTGCAGGAACTTGGTTGAACTGTGTTGTGCTATGTTTATCAGCTGTGATCCTGATCTCTAAGTACTCGATCCTCTTCATGAACTGAACTGAGGTCACATTCCTGTTACTTGCACTAGTAGTGCTGTAAAGATTTAGGCTCATCTGAACAGGCACTTCAGTGAAGCCACTGTAGAAGCACTTGGTTGAAGTGCTCTTGCCATGTAAACCTTTGACTTTTTCTCTCACTAGCAAGAGGAGACAGGTTTGGTATTGATTATCCCCTAGGCTGTGCTGCCTGGGTGTTAGAACAGAGAATTTGCATTTAATGTTGATTGACTTGGCAACTGTAACACTTTGGATGTAAGTTGCTTAATTTAGCATATTTGCTGAATATCTTTTTAAATCTGATATTACTGTGATTATGCTGTTGCAGCTTATATTTTCTTTTTGGTTTGTGCCTTTTCCCAGATTCTGAAAGCACTGAGCCCCTGAGTGTGGATGGCATCTCAGATCTGGAGGGAGAGGAAGGAGAGGAGGATGTGGGTACCAATGTGCCAGTGGGAGAAATTCCTCAGACACCTGATCAGGAGAAGTTCCTCAAGCAGCATTTTGGGACCCTGGGCAGCACTGATAGAAAAGGTACAGCTCTCTGTTTAGTCTGAGCACTTTCTCTGTGAGGTCATTCTGCTGTGTAGAGAAGTATAGGGAGGGGGAAACAGGGATTTAGTGAAGAGATGCCTGAAGATGAGAGGCGTCTGACAAGTCTGTTGTTGTGTGTGTTCAAGTCTCTCTGGATCAGATTGAAGTCTGTGTTAGTTTGGGTTAAGTATTGTCCCCAGAATCCTGAAGAGCAGTTCTCTTGTCCTAGCACTAGTTTTTCATAGTTTATATGACTATTAATTGTATGTATGTCCCCATAGGTGGCGTGTAGTGGCCTCTAGTGGTATGTTAAGACATAACAAATGTCACAAAAGAAAAGGCTGGAATACTGGGTGGAGGGATAGAATAAGAGGAGACATCAGAGTGGCAAAGGAGCTGGTTAATCTCTGTTGACCAATTCCAGAACAAAGCGTATCTTTCTAGAATTGATAATGGTTGCATGTAGCAGTATCTGTGTGAGCTATTTGTTTTACTAGTACTGTTTTCTTTCCAGTTGATTGATTTGTTTCCTGCTTTGATGCCAGTACCTCACAGTCCTACAAGCAGGATAGAACACAAAGGGAAGAGAAAAAGGAGGAGGCATACCCCTTAGGGAGATTAGCAGTTTAAGGCAGAGTAATCTAAGTAGAACAGAAAAGGCAAAGGCAAATTAAATTATTTAATTCTGTTGTTTTAGCTCAGAAAATCCTCATGAATATGAGGGGAGAGGGAAATGCATTCAACAGTCTCTGTGAGGGGAAAATGCATATATCAGAATGTTTATTTGTTTTGTAACTAAATTGCTCTCTTTTTTTTTTTCCTTTTTTTTTTCTTTTTTTTTTTTTCCTCCTCTCATTTAACCAAAATGTTTAGGTGGTTCATGTAGGAGTCTGGAAAGAACTGAAAACCTCAGCATTTCATCTCGCTTTCTTTCCCAGTCTCCAGCTCTCAGGTATGATTCTGCTTGTTTTGAGTGTCTGTCTGTCTATTTTTGCTGGTGTGGTGAGGTCTTGTACTAGGCCGTGGGCCAAATTAGAAAGCAGACTTCTGCACCCAGCAGGTTGGTTGTATTTTGGACATGCTGTCCTTTGTCACTATAGCTGTTTGGTTTCTTCCTAAAGCATTACTGTTATTTTGTTCTTTTTTCCTCTTTCGATTAAGCGTTTTATGATTAATAGCTTGATTGTTTAAGCTGCAGGAATCGCTATCATCTAATTTACTCTTGACCATTTATGCTCTGTTTATTCTTTTGCATTTCATTCAGCTTGGACAATGAAAGTAGGCTTGTCAACTTTTCCTTTGTTTTTACAGTCCTTTCTTGACTTAGCCTCGTTTCTCAGTCCCATGCCTTCATAGGATACTCCAGTCTCATACAGAGCCCCGTGGGAATGTTATACTTCCAAAAAGCCCTTAACTCTAAAGCATCTCAGAAGGCCTCTCTGAGCTTCTTTCCTTGGGTTTAAAAAAAAAAAAAAAAAAAAAAGAGGAACAAAGGATAGTGGTGGTGTAAATACTTCTGTTGATTCAAATAAATGATTAAAACAAAAACCTCATTTTTATTCCTCCAAAATAACAACATGGAATCTTGGCTTAATTTAATTTAATTGTGTAGAATGGAGCTGGGTTTAAGTACATCTGTGTTTTACCAGCTACGTCTAGATTCACCACATTATGGAATTTTTTTAATCATTGCTTTATTCAGACGCAGCTGTTGCTGCTGTCAGGAGTGCTTCTTAGTCTATCTTGCAATGAAATCTCGTGTTTAAGAAGAAAGTCAGCGGTTAGTTATTGTGTAAGCTTCTGGAAACTTGCAGTGGGGAATGAAGGAAGTTACTGGCACTTTAGAGGTGTAGTAAGAGAAGTAGTTCTAAGTTATGAAGACTTCCATGCTTTTAATCTGTCTAACATACCAAACTAAAAGTTGCCTCCTTTCTGACATAAGCCCTCTGTACTTGTTTGAAATGGTGAGGAAACAAGGCTTTTCTCTTGAAGATACTGACAAACTTTCATAGTAATAATACTTTGATAATTCTACAAAAGTATAATTACTTTGTCTTGGAGTATCTTGGAATGTAAAAGAATTTATTGTTAGTAAGGTGAGCTGAGAGAAGAGACATGACCTGACTTTACCCATTCTTCCCTCTTCCTAGAACTTTTCCTTCTATCTTGCCTTCACCTTTCACGAAGTCCCTCCCTGAAAAATTGACTCAGTGCTACTTGTGATTGAGTGGCCTGGTGTAGAATGCTTTAAGATCAGTACACCCAGGGATAAATAGAACTGTTAAGAGCTTAGGGCAATTCTGCCTTTTTAAAAGTCTAGGTAGGGAAAGGAAAGGCTTTTAAACTGGTTCAATGCATGTGCTTGGTTGTCCAGAGCTATGTATGTCCTTGTTTTAGTTAGGATTTCTTCATTGCTTTCTCTAGGCGCTTGTCACTCTCCTCATCGAATCTGATACTGGATTCAAAGTCCATTGAGTCTCCAGCTCCAACCAGTGGATTTACTCAAGACCTGTTGAAAAATGACAGCAGCCATCCTGCTGATTCTTTGGAAAACAGCCACCTCTTGGATAATGTAAATTTGCATCGGGCTGTTTATGCCCAGAAAAAACGCAAGTCGGCCTTGGAGACTAGCAGAGTTGGTATGGCTCCTGGACGAGTTATTGCATCCTTTCCAGAAGGCCCTGTGAATGCAGTGATGAGAAAGGCACAGTCAGTTCACGACCTTGTTCATGAGGGTAAGGACTCCAACTGGAATGATGGTATAAATTCAGGAATGAAATGGGGAGGTTTGAGTGGAGATTAATTTTCTGTCTTTGTCTTCTGAGCTACAGACTTTGTGTGTCTTTTAATTCTTAGCCCATCAAGGGAAAATATTTTTGCTTTGTAGCACAGATGCTTGTCTCCTAATTAGTAGTTTCTGATATTTGTCTGGCAGCTTTAGGGAGAGAAATGCCAAGGGTGAAACTGGCTATTTGCAAGGAAATTTCCTTCTGCCGTGAGTGGTTGCTCCAGACAAAAAGTGAAGCTCCCTAGGGTGAGGAGGGGAGGAAAAAGGGAAAAAGAGTGCAGTAAGAGGGGGGCTTACTGTATATATGCACTCTGTGTGAAAGAAGTGAAAGAACCCCAGTTTGGAAACAGTCAACTCAATGGAGCCATGGGTAAGCATTAAGTTTGTTTTTAAAAAACAAAACTTATCACCACAACTCCATGCCTATGTGAGTGGATTAGAGAACTGACAGTTTTTGCCTGCTTCCTCAGCCTTCTCAGTTAACAGCCATGGTGGCCTGAGGTATTCTGACTATATGCTTACCTCCCTTAGGTAAGCAACAGTGTGCAAGCAAGATGAGGGATGGGGAAAAAAGGAAGTGTTGAGGCTTGATAATATTAACCTGAAGTAGTAATTTTGTACTCTTCCTCTGGGGGCTGAGCTGAGGCACATGGACTGAAGTAGCCCTGTAGCTTTCCAGTTTAGGAATTCACTGCAGGCTCTTGTCTGTTTTTGGCATGTTTGTCTGTTTAATTTTCACAGATAAGGGTCCTGGAGTGGTATCTTCTGCCAAGCAGCGTCCTCATACTCTTATGGTGGTTGAGAAGGATCCCAGACCTAATAATTGCAGGGCGTTATCATCCAGTCTGTTGAAGATGGATGGATCTGGTGCTCTGCTGGCCAAAGATGTCAGGGCTGCAAAACCAAAGTCCTACATGAACCCTACAACCAGCTTCCGGGCTAAGATGTCAAGGAGCATATCTGTAGGGGAAAATCTGTACCTTGGTTGCTCCACCGACACGTTGACTGATGGGAGGACTAGCCCACCAGCGGCAGAGAAGACACAGTTCAGTCCCACGGCAGATGCTGAGAAGATGAAGTCAACAGTAAAAGAAAATTATCCAGTGAAGCCAGCGCTTCAGCCGGTTGTAAACTGCTTGTCTCCCAAGTCCTTTCACAGCAAGTTGGCATCATCAAACCGAGCACACCTGATTCTCGACATTCCTAAGCCATTGCCTGATAGACCCACACTGGCCTCCTTCTCACCCACTACCAAAACCAAAACCCTGCTTGAGCCACAGTCTCCACAGTCACCTGCTGGGGCCTGTAGAAAGAAACCCTCATTCCCTGCTGAGGTGCGAACCTCCAAGAAGGAGAGTCAAGCTGTTGGGTGTCTGGTTTCTGGTAGAGAGAATTCAACAGGACTTGCTAAGGAGAGCCCAATAGAGAGTCCAATTGCAAGGACAGGTTGCCAGTTTGAGCCAGGGGTCACAAATCTAAAACTGAGGGAGTTTTCAGAGGTCCAGCAACTGAAGTCTCCTGAAAGCACACTGCCCAGGTGTAAGGAGAGGACCGCCGGCATCGCCTGTGTGCTAGACAACCAACCTGGACTTTGCCCACTAGACCCCATCAGGCCGAGGTCTCCTACATCTGTAACTGCCTTGGCACAGGTCTCAGGTGTGCATGGATACCCATCTCTTATCTTCCCCCTTCTGTCTCCTGTCTTTGTGAACCGTCTCACGATCCCATCACATTTCTTTACGTCCAGCTTCTGGCCTGTCTCGTCCTGTCTGCACCTGTCTCGTTCCATAAGTCATCCCCTCAATGGTGAGACTTTTCTTCAGCCTGACATCTTTTTCTGAGTCTTTAATTTCCATTTCCTCTGAGTCTTATATCTGAATGGTTGGTAGACCTCAGCAGTTCCTTGTGCAGTTGCACCTAGGAACTCAAACATTTTTTTTGGACAGTCCTGATAAATTAACATGCTAGGAATCCTCGGTAGTACATGTAGGTTACACCAATTTTGCTCTTCTCCAGATATATCTGACCAGTAAATGAAAGTGCAGGCCAATATGTGTTAGTTGGGCACATACTACACATAATAGTGACAGTGAAGTTATACCACTCAGCACTTGTTGTTAAGTGCAGGTGTGCAGAATCCAGAGTTGTTTGCCTACAGTTTTCACACGTGAGAGAAAGCTTGGCAAAAGTGAGCTCCTTGCTATACTATGCGTAAGAGCAAGGAAGTGAGTGCTGCCATCATGTCTGCAAGCTGCATGGATCAATTTTTAAATTACCTCTGATTTAAAGAAAAAGTTACTAGCTGGGGAACTATTTTACATGCTGAAAAAGCTCTTGAATTTGTTACAAACTCTGATTTAAGGTACTTTAATCAAATGAAAGCTAGCTGGTAGCTTCAAAACTGAATCAAAGTCCTGCCTGCCAAGGCTGAGGTGTCCAGTGATTTTTCTGTGTTAAAACCTGAAATGCCTTCCTGACTTACTTGGCTGAGTTGTATGGTGTGAAGCTGGATGTCAGCCAACACACAAACATCTTGCACATTAGGGGGACTATACAGTGCACAGTTTTATAAGCTGTGTTCTTATTCACATTTGAGAAGGAGCATCTCTAAAATACTTTAATCAATTACATTTTGTGGTCTCAAGCTGCTCTACCATTCATTGCAATGTTTAAATGCAGTATTTCTGCACCTCAGCATTATAGAGAGAGAATCTGGTTTTGTTTAAAATTTTTTATTGCATTTTTAGAAGGATCAAACACCGTAAAATTGAAGCACTGGTATGCAAAATAAGGAATGTGTTCTGTCTGATAGACTTACTGTTGTGCTATAGAGCAGTTGCTCTGTTGAACATTGAGTGTCTGAAGCTTTCCATCTCTAACCCTTACTGAAATGAGGTTTCCTCCAACAGAAACTTAGAGCTGTGGAATCATTTCTACAGTGGGAAAATAATAGTCCAATTGTTTGTACACTTCATACTGAGTTTTCTCTTCTAGACTTGGAAATCAAGCGATGGATGTATCATATGATTTTTGTTGAGTTGCTAGGAATCTGCTTGCGGAGTTAGCACAGATGGTTCAGAGAAAAGGGGTTTTTTTTGTTTGCTTTCTAAGTCAGCTCCCAGTGCAGTGCACAGCATACCCTGTCAGGGTATTTCAGAAGCATCCTTCAGTCAGTACAGTGCATCCACAATTTTTTTTTTCCTCATTAACAGCAGTCAGCCTTCACCTTCTTGGAAATCACTTTTTCCATACTTCTAGTGGTAAATGCTGGAGAAGCTGACTTTTACTGTGAACAATCTGCTGTGATTTTTGTGGATCATAATGTGGCAATTTAGACTAGTACTGCAGGGCTGACAGTCGGAAATCTTTCTGCTTCTGACTTGCTCTGTGACTTCTGGATTCTGCTTAATTTTTCTATCCTTCAGTTTTCCTGCTTGCATAACATTTGCTCTTAAGGAGACTTAACTGTTTTTGTGAAAGCATTTTGACAACTACAGTTAAAATGCTGAAGATATACTGAATACTGTTGCTGTGTTTAATATTCCCTGCTGGTTTCTGAAGAGCTCTGCAGGCAGAAAATGCCTGTTATTCAAGCATTTGTGTTTTGTTTGTGACCTGTCTCCAGATTGGCACTCACAGACTGAGACCAGCATAAAAGCATGATCAGAGAAGAAATCCAGGAACAATAATGAGAAGAAAGAACTGGCTTGGGGGAGCGGGGCAAAAAAAGATGGGAGGGGGTAGGGCAAAAAAGAACAACACAAAGGTAGCAGGGCAAGAATCTTGGATGGAACTGAAGCCCACTGTGCTCAAACTCTACAAGACTGAGTGATTCAGGAAAAAGAATACAGATGGATTTGTTCATATCTTTTTTTGTGTTTCAATATATTCATATGAGTGGATATTCTAGCAGTGTTTGTACACCTTCTGCATGTATTCATAAAATGAGATGAGGTTCCCTTCCATCTATTCAACGATAACCTTTGTGAAGTGCAGAAATAATAGCAGTAATGTGACTAAGTTCTGTTTTATAGGTAACTGAAGGAAGTTGAATGTCCTTTGTCCAGGCCATTGTAAATTGAAGATAACTGCAGGTTGTGTGTGTGTCAGCGTCCTCATTCATGATTTATGTCTTAACTCTTAGAAGCGTTTATTTTATTAAAGCCTTGCACCTTCAGCTCTGATGCTCTGGGAGTATTGCCCAGTGAGGGCTGGAAGAAAGTGGTGTTTTTCAGTTCCTTGCTTTTAGTTTCAATTTCTGAATTATGGTGTCACAGTACCCTGGACTGTTCAGAAGTGTGATTCCTTTATGATTGTGTTTGTTAGTCAGCAGTCCTCTAGAGCTCAGTCCTCACTAGAGAACACTGTAATAAGTCAACATAGCTCATTGTTGTATACTGTGCAGAACAGTATATAAGGGGAGTATGCAGGTTTCAGTCTAGGTGGATGCCAGATTAGAGGCTCCTCGGATCACACCCCTTTGCTATTGGAAGACTTGAAGCTGAATTTAACTATAAATGAAAATGGCATATGTGATCTCTGACTATTGTTGACTGTAACAGCGTTATCAGTGTAATCTAAAGAGACCATTACTGACTTTGAAGAAACTACGCAATGGAAAAACAAGACTATTTGAAACAAGAAGCATCTGTCAGTAATATGAAGGAAAGTTCATGTTTCCCACTGATTCAAACTAGCCCAAAAATTGAATGAGAACTGTGTGCACGTGATCTTTTGAATAATGTTAAGAACTCTTTTTTACCCAGCTGTGAGATCTCAGATATTGAACTATCTATACCTTACTTTAAATTTTTATTTTTTCCTCTTGTTCAGAATCGAGCATCAGTGTGGAGCAATGTGAGCACGTGGTATCTGAGCTCCAGGACAGCATGCGCAAAGCTATTCATCTTTACCGTGCGGTGAGTGACATTTGACACATGATCTATTTCAGCAGATTGGCTTTACAGCCTACGAGCACTGAATATGCATGCTTAAACATGTAAGTATTCTCTTGACTGTGAGTTCAGTGGCAGAAGCTGCCTGGCTGTCTACGTCTCTGCACCTAAGCTTGAACTGGGCAGGCAGGGATTCTTGATTTCTAACATCTGCATTTTCCAGTGGCTCGTTACGGCATTCTGAGCAAATCAATTAACTTTCCAAACTGTTTCGTCTATCTGTAAGCTGAAGATAACAGCATGCTCTTTTTCAAAGGGGTATTAGGGAATTAGTATTTATACTATGCCTCAGAGATACAGATATTATAGGAACTTTAAATTTTATTATGTCCTTCTGTTTCCTCATCTTTGATGCCCAAGAAACGGATTAGTAAATTATCATGGGAATTCAGCATGCAACTACTCTTCTCTCCCCCTTACTGCTAGAACCTCGTTACAGGCAGAGTTGTGTAACAACTCTTGTTTTCTTTGCTTGGCACTGATCTGTCAAGTTACACTGGTTGAGGAGCTTCCACAGTGAGCTTCTGCCATGAGTTCTTCTGCAGCTTCAGTCTCAGTGCATGCATGAGCTCTGTGACCTCTCTGCATTCCTGTGACCTGTTGCATTTGGCAGACAGAAAGAAGAGAACACTGGCCCTTTGCTGCAGCTGGGCAACAGCACCTCTTAGACCTGGTATAAAGGCATCAAATTCCAGAAAATACGCTTCCCACCTCCAGTCTTTTAGAGTAATGCCCCTGTTTCTTGTGTGACTAGCTGTATCAGATACATACTCTGCTATAAGATTAAATTGGTAGTTTTGCTGAAGAAAAGGAGACTCAGTGGTCTGTATTTCATTTTCTTGGCTTTGCTTTCCAAAAGAGCTGAAATTGCATCTTTGTGCACTACCTGACACCCAATGTATTCTTTTTTCTTTTCTTTTGCTTCTCTGTTTTCAGGTGCTAAATGATACAGAGTCATCTACTGACAAAGATAAAATAGCAGGCCTCCTGACAGAAACATTTTCCTTAATGAAGAAAGAGTTGGACTCCCTGAAGGATGAGGAAGAACTGCCAAAGGTTAAGGAGGTACTGACAAAGCCACAAGATACTGCTAGGTCACTAAATGACAAATGTGGTGCCAATCTACCAAGTCCCAAGAATTTAGGAGATGAGCAGACACTAGCTTTGCTGGAACAGTACTCGGAGTTATTGTTGCAAGCTGTGGAACGACGCATGGACAAAAAACTCTAAAAGTGGTGTCTTTCAGGTGTTTGTGAATACACAGAAATAATCCGAAGAGGAGGACCACAGAGAGATCTTCAGACCAATGCCATCATCACACTGGTCTAGAACTGGTGGGGTGACCTTAATAAACTGATTTCCTCAGGCCCCTGCAGTTGACTTGCTAGAATTCTTAGGAATGTGCTGGGCACACTTTTAACACTTTTTTCCCAATTGTCTTCAACTTCCTGTCTCTAGATTGTCTCTAGACAAAATTTTGAGAGGAGTTTGGAGAAATTGCCTTGAAATTTCTTCATAGCCGGGAGATCAGGATGTTTGGCATCTAAAGAAACAAAGAAAATCTCATTTATCCAAGAAATTCTGAACTGCGGACTGAAGACAAAGGAGTCCAAGTGAAGCCAATCCCTTCTTCTCCAAAGCTTTAGGAGAATCAAGAAGCAGACTTTTTATGGGTTTATTTATTAATTTATTTTTTCTGACTGTTGCTCTATGTCATGTTTGTGACTAGTATCTATCCTTTAACAAAAAAAAAAGTCAATCTCTTGCCATATCCCAGCGAGATACAATCTCTGTATTATAAATCTCCAAGAGGGAGACAGGCTGGAGTGTCTGTGCAATTAATGAACTGGTTTCTGCTTAAATTTTGTCTTGCTGTTCTTTCTTTTCCTTCCATAGTTTATTACTTGGAGTAATCCTGCTGTTGTTTTGACTACTCGTCTGCTTTTCTCTTTGTTTCACAAGACAGTCCTCATGCCTGTATTTTATCTGCATTCGCCTCCAGGGGGAAGACTCCACAAACCCTTGGGCCAAGCTTTGGAGTTTGTCTAACAAAATCCGTAGTGGTATTTTTTTAATCTGGAATTTGATGTTATGTTGATGTTCTCCAGACTAGGTTTTTCTGCAGACATTTTAAAAAGGAAGCTATATACAAAAAGGAAAGTTCATTTCAGCCACCTTTCACAGTTAGGAATTGGATATCAACTTTGATGTTATCGTTACTGGGAAATTTGGGGATATGATTTATTTGTGGAGAAATCACACTGAAGGCCTGGTTTCTTTCCGTGGACTTGTACTGAAACTTTAGAAGTATCTTCTAGTCTTGTCTCATCATTGTGCTATGCTGAATGGAGTGGTGTGCTGGGTCTTGTAGGCAGAGAGGTTTTTATGAAGACAAATTGAAAAGTATAGAAACTTTCTGTTGGTTTCCTTGAGTAAAAAGGTGTGCTGGAGAGGCTACAAGTGGAATGTCTGGTGGCAATTGTGCTGGGCTGTGATGGAATTAGTATGAATCAAGCTTGCTTTTGGGATGATTAGTTCCTCCTCATTCAGACTGTGAACATATGTCCTAGTAACTTCTTGCTGTACTGGGACCTCAAGACACTCAGGTAAAACAGCAGCCCCTTCAACCCAGGTATCTTTTGGTATTGAAGATTATGGTTTGAGGGGTCTTTATTCTACTTCTTTGTGCAGTTTTATTATCCATTATTTCAGTTATGAGGTAGTGGCAAAAACGGTCAGAGCCAGGGGTCAGAGCAAAGTTCACATCAAACTGTAGGGCAGCAGCAACCAGTGAAACTGGCATAGCGATTCAGCACTCCTTGGAAAGAAAACGTGTGAAGCAAATAGGATTTTTAAGCTGAAAGAGTATGTTTTGCTTCCTGAATTGGATTTTGCTTGGGCATCATGGCTGCATGCAGGAAACCAGAGGTAAATTCTGCATGGAATGGTGGTAAGAGGCATCAGGCATGTGGATGAGCTGATGGAGAGTGGTTGTGTAGTTTGAAGTAGAATAGTATATGTAGGACATTCAGGAAAACAGAGTAGAGGTAGAGATAGTCTTGGTCCAAACAACATTGTTTGGCCAGTAACCATTTAAGTATGGAAAAGCTTCAGGAAAGTAGATTTAGGACTGAGGTGGTGATTTGTAATTGCTGAATGAATCAGAAGGTGTTTTTAAAAATGTCCTGTCAGGCCTCTTGTTTCTTTGCTTGCTGTCTTCTAAGCAAATGTTTATTAAAAGGCAAAAGTGTCAGCTGTTTGCTCAAGGTTTGGAAGTTAACTGAGAATTCAGTTGAAGAGATGCTAGTGCCATAAGTGTGTTGATGCTTAGTATTTGAGATGAATGCAGCTGTCTCTTTCCTGCTACGTTCCTGTTGTTAGTAGTGGGAAGTAATCCTAAAAGTTCTGGTTTACAGTGCAAAGCACAAATGGGATGGATTCTGTTGCACATTGTGAATACGATTTGCTACAGGCTGTAGGTGAGGCCAGACAGAAAAACAAAATGGTAATTGCTTAGAAAGTGAAAAGATCTTTGGGAGGAGGTAGTGAGTTTGAGCTTATCCCCCCTACTGGTTTGTGATCCCTCATTCAGGTTTGCGTGGCTGTTAGAACAGATACAACCAGACACCTGTACTAAAACGAGTTGGTTGTTTAGCATAGTCTGTATTAAGAATTTAGACTTACCATGCTTTTTGTCCTCTCATACCCAGCATTTCTGATCAAAATGAGAGTTGTGTTTTTTCCCCATCTTGCTTATAAATAGCATTGCTGTAGGACCCTTGCTTTGCTCGTAGGCCTCTGAGGTGATGCAGGGGGAGGGCAGCAGGCTCAGTGTTCTTCCTGGGCAGTGGCTGTAGCCTCCTTCAGCTTGCCCAGAGCGTGTTTACATGGGTCCGTTGTTTCTCCTGCCTCTTCTCTCAGGTGTCTCCTTTTTCTTGGCTCTCCCAGGTGACAGTTGGGGCAGGCCTTGGAGCTCCTTCACCAAAACCCCCTTTTTGCAGAATCCATCGCACCCTTGTAGAGAAACACCCTCATTCTCTGGAGCAGAAACGTACAAACTTTTAATTTTTTTAAAGAAAGAATATGTATATAATTATCTATAAGAAAAAAAAAAAATACAGTTATTTAAACACTATGGGTAAATTCATGCATGTATATGGTGTTCCCCTTCCTCCCTGCCTCCCCTTCCCCTGGATGTGCAGCATCTGGAACACTAAATGACAGAAACCTCATTAAAATAAGTGACAGGTCTTGCGCTGCCCGTGGGTGAGCAGGTGCTGCTTTCTGTAGCTGAGCTGTTCCATACCGTGTAGGTCGTGGGCTGTGTGCTCAGCTGGGGCCCTGCTGTAAGGACGGACGGGCACCGGGCAGCAACTCTAGGAATAAGCCATGTCCTCCCTGCATGTCGTGTGGGCACCTGGCAGCTCTCTGTGGGCGTCAACGCTGCCCTTCTTCACCTGTTTAAAATAAGGGGGAAGAAAATAAAAATAAATTCTATTCTCTTGATTTATTTATAAATGTTTTTATATTTCTCCCTCTAAGTGAAATAATCCATTTAAATGTTCTTTTTCTGGATTTGTAGAAATAAAAACTTTTTTTTTTTGTTTTGTTTTGTTTTCGTTTTTTTTTTTTTTTTTTTTTTTGCACTGTGAAGCGCCCTGTTGCGGCAGCTGTTTTTAACTCTGTATTCATTTGTACTCTGTGTCTTAGAACTGTTTCAATAAAAACGTGGTCATTTGGTACAGCCGTGCCTGCTGGGGGCAGCGCTGCCCTGCCGGGGTGGCGCTGTGGGGGGCTGCTTCTCCCCTCCGCTTGGGCCTGGGGCGGGGCCTGGCAAGCGGCGCCGCGTCGTGAGGCGGCGCGGCATGGCGGAAGGCGCGGCGCTGCGGGCAGTGCGGGGCTGCCTGGCCGCCTTCCCGCGTGAGGCCCGCGGTGAGCGGGGAGCCCGGAGGGAAGCGGGCGGGCGGGGTGGCCTGGAATGGCTGACGGGGGCCTTTGTAGGTGACTTTCCTTTGCATAAAGTAGCAAAGCACCGATCTGTCTTCCGAAAACCTTCTTTGTTTTTTGCGGTATCTGCATTGTTGGCTGCTGTAGCGCGCTTCGGCTCGCCACGCGGTGCAGCCTTCGTGGGCCGCCGCCCCTGTGCGCGGGGGCCGCCCGGGACCAGAGTGCTCTGCAGCCATATCCGTGCCTTTGAACACAGCGACTGCGCTGCTCGCTTTTGGTGGCTGGGAGTTGGAAGCTAGTTAGCTTTCTGACAGACTAAAGCTGCTTCTCGTTTGCTTGGACAGAGCTGGGGTGGATGGAGTCCGTTCCGTATCTTGATAGGCCTCCGTCCCCGCTGGAGTTCTATCGAGAGTGGGTGAGCCCAAATAAACCCTGCATCATCCGGAATGCTATTGGCTGCTGGCCAGCGCTGCACAAATGGACCTTGGCGTACCTCAGGTATGGGAGGGCTCCTGGGCGTCACCCAGCGGGAATTTGCGGCCGTGAAAGGCCTTCTGTGCACTCGCTTCTGTTGCTCGGTTGTCCCAGTGTCCTCTGCGGGTCTGTATGAAAGCAGCATTCACTCTTCGTCTCGCTCCAACATTTGAAACTCAAGAATAGTTTTCATCGTACAAACACAGTGCCCCCATCAGCTCAGATTGAGCAGGAAGGGCAGGATTGTGACTGCAGTCAGCCAACAGGCTGCGTTATCAAAACCAAGGCAGACTGATCTGCTCGTGACCAGCTGCGTCTTGGCATAAGTCATGAACAGAAAGAAGTAACTGAAGGGGGCCCTCTTTCTGCCTCTGCTGAGGACCAGGGAGCCTCTTTGTTGTTCTCGCCTGTTACAGATGGGTGAATTCAGAGAGGCAGGAGATATTCCTCTTGTCCTGACTGCAGAGAGCAATTAGAACAGGTTGTCAGTGTCCTTATTAGGCAGTAGAAAGTCTTGTCCAGAGACCCATCCGTGAAAGGCCAGGTTTCTTCTGCTGTCTGTGGAATGAGTTGTTCAAGTAAATAGTATCCATAGGAGTGAATTAAGGTCTGGCTGTAAACTTCTGATTTATTTTGCAGGGAGGTAGTGGGCCACAAGGTAGTGAGCGTGGCAGTAACACCAAATGGTTATGCAGATGCAGTGTTCCATGACCGTTTTGTCATGCCAGAAGAGCGCCAAATGCCTTTCATGGACTTTTTGGACATTGTGGAGAAGAAAGTGACCTCTCCCAATGTATTCTATGTGCAGAAGCAGTGTTCAAACCTTACTGAGGAGTTTCCTGAACTGATCTGCGATGTGCAGCCTGATATACCGTGGATGAGTGAGGCTCTGGGTAAACTTTCTGTTTCTCCCATGCTGACTAACATATGCTGTATTAAGCTTTAAAACAATCACTTTGCATACATGGGGAATGATTGTTCTGTTGCTGGTTGCCACAGAATATACTGATTTCACCCCCTCCAAAAGTTGAAGTGGTAAAATAATCTTAGTGTAATCCTAGTTTTGGGTTTGGATTACTCCAAAATCAGTGTCTCACTTTATTGGCACCATCACAGTGAAAAAATGCAGTGAGGGTGCTGTGCAGCACTTCTTTCAATATTGTGGCACTTTTTCTGATTTAGAGTCATGTTTGCACGCAAATTTGTACCTAACAAATGAGTGAACACACAACCCCTCTTCTTCACAATTGCATGCATTTTTTCCTGTTATTGCAGAACTAAATCTCAGGACTTCAGAATGGGAAAATGAAGGGCTGTAACCATGAGTTTTGTGTGAGGTATTAATGCATTATGAAGTTTGATGGGCACTACAGTAGCTTCTTGTGTAGAAAGGTTGATGCAGCAGGGGTGTTGGAGCTTGATGATCCTTGAGGTCCCTTCC